TATGAATCGAAGTCTATCCTATGACAGGTAGTGGCGGATGGGACTTGATCCAGGAATTGTCTTTATAGGCTCTATCATATCGAGCCTCAATGCAAAACTCTGCGTCTCTCAACCGAAGTCGCAGCTATCCTATGGCCCGTATTCACCTTGAAAACGCACCCAAAAAAATAGGCACCCTCTCCCTCGACCTGCGAATGTCCTGCTCAACTCAACCTTTGCCCCGCCGGACTATACATGTCCTGCTCAATTCAACCTTTCTCTTCGCGCATGGGCTCCACTTCTATCCTATAACTGGGCTTGACCAAGGCCTTGTGGACAAAGAGCCTATCATATCGACCTTCAATGTGAGACTATGCGCCTCTCTGCCTTCTATTTCCCCATGCCTGACAGCAGTTGAAGTGCGCTGTCAAATTCACCCCATAACCACATTGAAGTCTTCTTACGGAAGCTGGCTTTCGCCCTCTCCCTTCCCAGGTATATATACACTTTGAAAATAATACAGAAAACATGATCAGCCTCTAGCCACTTTGCAATTTGCACCCGTCTCTGCATGAGGGGGTTGTTGATTCAAGATTCAAGCCATGTTGTGCCCACACCTTGCCGAGCTCAATTTTTCACCACTGGCCTTGCCAGTTGCCAATGGGATTGGCTGAGAAGCTTCCAAGCGTTCTACTGTAAATGGTGTTGTTTTTGCATTGACGGTCCATTTTCAGACCCTGGACGGTGAGGTGCGGACAGGACAGCGTGGACTGGACACATTTGGACACCCAGAAAATGTTTGACGTATGGTTGAAGGCGGTTGTTTTCCCAAGGCTCCCATTGTACCTGACATGCTTGATTTGACAGAGTCTCAAATGAAGCACCGGGTGGTCAACCTTGGCAATCTCCCGGACGCCGGACACCAGCAGTGGACTATAGTAGACTAATTATGGGAGGCTTGGCCACATGTCCGAATTTGCATCATCAGAGCTGGTCAAACGCAGTCATCAAAGAGCTTAAACCTGTTGTGATGAGGCCTTTGACCACACCGCACTGGCTGGGCCCACTTAGAAACGCACAATCACTTCCCGTCAACTCCCTCTCCTAACATCTGCACTTGCACAGCTGCGGCCTTGTGGAAATGCACAGGGTGGCTGTGTTGCCAGCTTGATGAGAAGCAGTTGGCGTGGCGCGTCCTTGGGCCTGCTGTGACCTTCGTCGTCATGGGAGGCAGCAAGCGGAAGCCTTGTTTGCCACGATGTTTTTTTCCGTCATCAGCGATTGCTGAGATGCATTTTTGACCGCCTTTGGCGGTCCAGAGAATGCTGGGGTTCCAAATATACCGCGGTTTGTGTCCTGCTGGAATGATTTTCCTTACATGATAAAGGAACAGAAGCAGAAGCGCCAGTTCCTGGGTTGTTTCCCCATCAAGTTGTTTTGACATACAAAGAATGAATGAATGAACACCGCACAACTTGGCAAACCCCACTGCAACGCTGTTTCATGCTATGACGAGAGCAATGCTCGGACAGGTGTAGCACAGGCAACGGCTGAATCATCCTTGCAGTTGGCGAATAGAGTTCAGATTTAGCAGCACTTTCAACTGACCAGTTGCATGTGATTGCCTGTGAAGTATGGCAAAAGCTCAGCGCTCCAACCCCTGACCGCACATGCGAAATGCTCAGAAAGCGGGCAGGAGACTTTGTTGAAGTGCTTTCTTCCGAGCTCGTCTCTTGAGCTTTGCCTGAATTCGAATATTCTTTAATGCACCTTGGCTGTCCGACGCCACGAGGCTTTCGGACGTCAGCCCAAGATCAGGGCATGAAATTTTCTGCCTGTGCTGTTGACTGTTGGCTAGCTTGTGCCCTCGCAGGTGCTTCAACACATTTTAAGACAAACCCTGTCCATTCGTAGGTGGCTCACACAATATGCCTTTGAGGTATCCTAAGCCACAGTTATTGCGATGGTTTGCTTCATGGAACTCCTGTAGTACATTGCGCATGATGTTTGACGCCTTTAAAGCCCGGAAGCGTCAGCCAACAGCTTGGAGCCTCGCGCCTGATGGGCTTTCCGTGGTTGTCCGATAAAAGGCTCGACAGAAGTTTTTCAACCGATCACGGCGCAAGAGGAAGAATCAGTGCCAAAGCATGGCCTTTGAGCACATAAGCTGTGACACAGTTGCGTGTGTGTCGAGCTCTTCCGCACCAAGAAGCCAAGAATTCTAAAACCCCGAGTCATGCTGCAATGTCACGTGGCCGTTGTCCAACAAGAAGGTTCTATCAAGCCAGCTGCTTCTGAGCTTCCATCCCAGTGCGCAACCTATGGAACAGCTTGCTTTGCTACATTTGATCAATGAGTGACAGGCAACTTGTGACAAGCAGACATGCTGACTCTGGGCGCTTCAAGTCATCGCGAAATGCGAGAGACCAATATGACCCCGCAGGGAAGACTGAAAAGGAGGTTCAAGCACGCGTGGACCAATGTCGTGCGAAAACCATGTTTACTTGAACGTTCTTTCATGAAGGCGCATTCTCTACCACGCCAACAACAGCTGGCTCAAGCGCACGCTGGGAAAACCGCGCGGGCCGCCGCAGAAGACCAGTTTCAATACTGGCAGCGGGGCCCACTGCGGCACTCCCGCGCCCGCCTGCTTAAGACACTTCGTTAATGGTCCGGTGGAAGTTTTGACACTGAGGGAAGTCTTTGCCGCCTTCGCTGGAGAGTTCTCAGCAGAAATTGAGGAAGAAGAAGCACACCTTGGCCAGCTGGGCGCCATCTATGATGAGAAGGATGCATCAAAAAGGGGCCACTACATTCAACGAGGAGGACAGCTCTGTGGGAGACTACCTCTTTGATCCTCTTTGGACGTTTGGTCGGCCGCCGGGCTCACAGTCGTGGCCAGCTTGCTGACACCCCATGGGGTTAGCCTTCGCTTTGGACGCCTGGAAGCGCCCCACCAAATTGGACGCACTGAACGTCAGGGGGCCTCATAAAGAGCGTCGTAGAGAACAAACTATGGGCTGGCATTGAAGCGATGAAGATGGTAATCATGGAAGCACCACCATCAAGAATATTCACCAGGCTTGCCTCGTGAGGTATGCTCTTTGACGTCGGAAGAAGTCCATGAAGGAGTTGAGGACCCTGTCGATGAGACTCCGGAAATCAGTCCACTTCAAGGCCCCGTTCGAAAATTGCTGTTCAACACCTGTCCCCCCGATCTGCATACATTAGCAGACATGTGTGAAACCATCCCCCTTGTGGGGGATCTTTGGGGAAAACGAGACGGCAGGACTATGGAAGACCCTCCCATCCGGAGATGATGATTGCACTTTCACTTCCGGAGGGGTCGAGATCACCACTCCGCCATCCCATGGCTGTACCAGCTGATGGGCGCTGTAAGAAGTGACAAGTTGGTGCCCGTGGAGACCTGCAATGAGAGGACGCGTCACGGTCTTCTGAGGAGCCCAATGAAGGAGTGAGCGCAACACTTGGAAAGAATTCTCAGCTCTTGACTCTTGACACCCTCTCACCGGGCTTCACAAGCAAGTATCCTCATCCGAAGATTGTGCCAACTACTGGTTGACGCTGACAAGGCCGACGCAAGAGAACAAGCCGAACACCTCATCTTCGCGCGCGCAGCATCAATATTGGCCTTCCGCCGCCTTTCTCCAGAGTGCTCGGATCAACCAAACTTTAGCATTTTCACTTCCAGCAGGTGGAGATACCTGATGACACAGTGGAAGAAGGATCCTCCATAAGCGGTGATAAGAGCATCTACGGTGCTTAACTTCAGATGCGCCCAGTCTTTCCGGAAGCGGCTTCACGAAGTCCTGCTTTCACGAAGAAGGTTCCCACGGAATCAGCCACATACCACTTGCCTGGGCCTGCCAATGAGGTTCAAAGTTCGAAGCATGTTGGACACCTCCGGCTCAGAAAAAGACAGGGAAAGGAGTTCTAGAACCATTAAACAAGATGCCATGCAAATTAGCGTCAAGAGCCCCACTGTACTGGATCGGGTGAAACCGTGAAACCCATTTTCATCGAGCTGGCAAGGACATGTCCCCTGACCTTTGCTTTGAAGTGAAACGGTACAAGCGAAGGCAGATCCAAGATTTGGTTGAAGGCCAATCGCTGTCAATGGACAGAGGAGCCAATCAGGCAAAAAATTTGCCCTAGCTCCCCCAAACTTCATAGGTTCATGGAGACAGGAGACGGACTTCTCCCCTAGACATCCACGAAACACAACTTTCCTTGAAGGGGGACCAGGGAAGGAAGGTCACGGACCAACGCTGGGCAAGCCGCATTGCTTTGCGTGAAGCTGTTTGGCGTGATCTGAAGGAGGAAGCTGGCAAACCAAGGCTTGCCGACAGTCCGCCGCAAAGCGGGACCAATAAGGTCGCTTTGGCAGCTGACACCCAGCTCAAGAATTTGAGAAGGTCAGCTTTGAGAAACTGACAAACACCCTGGATGTCAGTGAGAAAGAAAATAATTGGTGTAAAAACCATGTTTCCTGGAGCATTCTTTCGTGAAGACTCACTGTCACCCAAGCATGGTCTACCACACCAACGACAGTTGGCTCAAGCACGCGCCTTGGAAAACAGCGCCGCCGCGGAAGACCAGTTTCAATACATGCACGGTTTGACACGATGCATTTACTGTATACTAACGCAGCAAGTTCATGCAAATTGCCAAAAAGTCTTGCAGTTCTCTATAGTTGTCCAACTCAGCTTTCGGCCCTCGGTTGTGCCCCTTGTTGCCCCCCTCCCCACTTTTTACCTAGGAGCTGAGGTCGCTCAGACAGACAATACCCAAGTTTGGAAGCCTTCCATTGTACATATACGCTCTATCACGCTCTATGTGCTTTACATTCGTTTGCCAAACGCCAAGCAAACATAAAATAAGATATCGTAAGATGTCTCTGGCATACTTGGTCTGACCGGGGTGGGCCGCCCCAATGTCCAAGAACGGTCACTTTGCAACTAGTTAAGTATTAGTTGGATTCTGTGTGATTCTGTGATCAGGCCTTTGGAGACCAACCTTTCACGCTTGGTTGCAAAGGACGGCGCTAGCTAATGAAGGGTTTGGGGGAGCAGGATTTGACGGCCATGAGTGAGGAACCCGAGCACCTGACCAACTTTTGGAGCATCACTTACCACTTGAACAGGTGGGCGTGTTCACATTTGAAGACCATTCAAGGTCAATTTGAACCTACATGATGATTGCATTTTCAGCATGTGGAAACGTGGAAGTGGGGGTCTATTTGGTGCATGAAGGCAAGATGCATAATTCTTATAACGTGGAAGTGGGAATCATTTTTGCGCGTGAAAGCAAGCTGCATATTTCTTAGCGTTCGCCGAGGCTTTACGCCTTGCTCCACGGCTATCGCTTTCGTCGGTCACAGCCGACATGTTTTGCCTTCCAAATCAGGTGAGATAGCGTGTGTGATAACTGTTATGTTCCCTTTGCAGGAAGGGTAGGGGTCTCAGCTAGCAACTAGTAGGTAGCCACTGGAGGTTTCAGTTTAAGTTGTAGCTGACCTTTTAGATGGCCCGTGAGTAGTTTGAGACCTCTTGAAATGCACTCCGCCCGAAACTGCGCAATCTTGGAGCCTGTGCCGGTGTAATCCATATTTGGACCGGCCTAGCTGCTAGCTCCATGGCAGGCCCCAGGTCAATAACTGGGGCCTTCGCGAAATGCTTTCGGATGGTTTGTATCCTCCCAGGCTCCGCGCTGGATGGACATTTGAAACACACAATAGACCATGATGGACCTATCTCCGCTTGTGTTTTCAGTTTTGGCATCATGGCAAAGTACCAACCCAGCCTCAGGAGAGTGCAATGGGCTATCGTGAGGTTGGTGCAGCAAGAGCTGGAAGACAGGACAAGTCCCACAACCAGTCTAAGACTATAAGAACATGTATAGTGTCGCGCCATAGTCGTGATGAGCTCACCATACCCCATGGACAACATTACTAGATGCCACAAGGCGACAAGGTGCGCGACGGCGTTGAGCACTTCAGCTCCCAAACACAAGTTGGTATATAGGCACCTCTAGTGCACTACGTTCTACTCCGACCTCGCAAATTCCAGGATTGGCGCTGTTTAGGCAAGCGCGTTACCCGGGTAAGCGCCACTAGAGTCGCTAGAGGTGGAGGAGGCAGTGGCAACTCCTTCGGGCTGACGACGGCCTACGCGCGAAGCACGCTGACCATCATGGAGACGGGGCGGCGCCTCAAGGCTAGAGCCGCCTTGAGCTTGGGCGCCATGGTTGGCAAAGTTGATTTTGGGTGTGGGGTGGTCAGCGCCTCCCACCACAAGGGCGGCTTGGCAACATTGCGGTCCGGCCACCGTGGCCCTTGCCTCAAATGAGGAAAGAGGAGACCTTTAATTGATCAATGCGGCAATGAAGGCAGGGGTGGGTTGGTGAAGCGCCACTGTATGCCACCGTTGTTTTGCAGGCCCGCGTACGCAAGGAAGGATTTCTGACTGAAGGAGACCTGCCCAGCAGCCCCATAATATGCACGTTTTAATTCCGGCAACCGGCTGGCCACCGGCCACCAGTCACCGGCCACGGCCACCTGGTGTCTTTTGGTATGATAGCCTGTTCTCCCCAAACGCGCTCCGTGAGTTACCGGGCTGAGGCTAGTGTTTGAGCCTTCGAATGACCCGGAGGAAACAATCCAGAATTCTTGGCCAGTCTTGTTGGGATTGAATGTTCTTCGTTTATTTGTTGACCTGGAACGGTCGGTTTCGCATCATGGCACTGGAAACCAGCCAGCTGTTTCCTTTAAGGTTGCTGTGCTTTCTGCCTTTTATTGAAAAAAGAACCATTGTTAGCAAGGTGCTCACCACAGAATGGGGAGCAAGGTTAGGCCGGTTGGTGGGTTGGATCTGCGCGGCTGCTGCATAGGAGCCACCCACACTAATGTGAAGGTAGTGTTTTGCTATGTTTTGCTTGCGCGCGCGTGCGCGCATAGACACATATACAGATATAACAAGCCTTCTCTCGCAGGCTTGCAGAAAAGTTCCATTTTTCATTTCCTAAAGTCAACTTTTCGTGACAGGCGCAGGAGATCGGAGCAGCTTGTTGCCGATGTATATACAGATTTTGTGGAAGGCGCAGTACTTTGGACATGGTGGTGGTCTTCGGCATGCTCTGATTTCGTGGCAGGTGCAGTGCATCGTGACTTTTGAACATGTGGCTCGTTTTCAGAAATCGTAGCACACGCAGTACTTTGTGCACCTCGACATGCAAACTTTGTGGCAGGTGTGGTAATTTGCTTTGTGGACCTTGAAGTGCAGATTGCGTGGCAGGCGCGGTGCTTTGTGGATCTTGAAGTGCCGATTTCGTGGCAGGCGCAGTGCTGTGTCTTGAAGCGCAGATTTCGTGGCTGGCGCAGTACTTCGTGCGCTGTACTTTGTAGACCTTGAAGTGCAGATTTCGTGGCGGCGCAGTACCGACCTTGAAGTGCAGATTTCGTAGCAGGCGCAATATTTTGTGGACCTTGAAGTGCAGATTTCATGGCATTCGCAGTACTTTGTGGACCTTTCCCAGCTTGCAAACCGTCACCTCTCGACCCCCAGACACGCTGTTTGGGGTCTCTTGCCGGATCATACGCAGCTCCTTGGTGCCTGGATTGCTACTGGAGGTTGGGCTCTTCAATTTGATAGAGATGTTGGTGGTTTTGATTCTGTGGAGATGGTAGATCTAGTGTTTTTGGAGAAATGGAGTGTTAGGTGTGCAATTCTTTAGAAAGGCATCATATATGTATATATGTATGTATATATATATATATATTTATGTTCAGGTTGAGTGTTCTGATTCTAAAGAGAATCATGCTAGGGGTTGTGTCTTTAGCTGCTTGGGTGCTTTGATTCTGTAGGGAATCACGCGTAGATGACTTGTGCGTTTGGAGCTTGCTTTCGTCGACCCTATAGAACGAGATCAGGGAATTATGGCTGGCAGAAGCTGGCAGGCAAATCAAGACCAACTGAACCGTTACTGTATAGAATGCTGGAACTAGGTAATCTTAGAGGCCTGGAGTGGCCCATGTACTGGCTAGGCTTAGACCTCATTCCCTCCGCTCAAGGAGCCACCAAGTTTCACTAAGGTTGGGAAGTCTAGCGGGTGGAATGGCTTGGGAAGCTGCCAGCTCATGAGAGAAAGACTGCAGGGGGCCTTCAATTCTATAAGTGTTTTGGACAACCAAATGGTAAGGAGCCGGAGGATCACTCAGGGTCACGCTGGGCTGGCAGAAGCTGGCAGGCCAATCAAGACCCACTGAACTCTTAGAATTCCTGGGGCAGCGCCGCTGTGTCATTGGAGTGCAAAAACTAAGCACAACAAGAGGCAGAAGAGAGAAAACAACGCGCGCTCACAAGCGCTCGCAACAAGAGCTCTCACTCACTCACTCACTCACTCACTCGCACTCTCGCTCTCACTCTCACAGTAAACTCTCACTCTCACTCTCACATTCATTCTCACTTTCACTTTCACTCTCTCATCTCATTCTCACTCTCTCTCTCTCTCTCACTCTCTCTCTCTCCCTCTCCCACTCGCATTCTTGATTTCTAGATTTCTAGACCTAGAGACCTCTACAACTACCTGTCTGGATCTAGGCATGAAGTCTTTGATGGGCGAGCAAAGCGAGTAATTTTGACGTCTGATTAAGAAACGGTTGTTGTAAATTTGGAAATCTTGGTTTACCCTAAATAAAGTTCATCCCAGGTTCCAAGAAAGAATTTTGAAATGAAACGACCCCTTTCTAAAACAAATTTTTAGAATCAAAGAGAAGAGACAGTTTAATGAAAGGGAAGAAACAGATTAAATTGGAAATGACATGGTCATAAATGCATGAATGTTAAAATAGAAGGGGGTTAGTTAGTATTCAAATTAGAATTGGATTTGACTTGATTTTGAGTTGAATTTTTTTAAAGTTCGATTGAGTTGGAAATGAGTGTGACTTGAATTGGAATTGAGTTCCGTTAAATTCAACGGAAGTGGAATTAAATTAGAATTGAATAGAAACCATATGTTGGCAAAGCAATGAGAGGAACTAAATACTAACTCAACAAGTTTTTTCACTGGGCAAAACTGTTTAGCTATATTTAGGGCGCACTTTATTTAGCGTTTGGTGGCTCCTGGGGAAACCCTGTCCAGAGTAGCTTTGATCAGTTTTCAATGGTTTTTGAAGGGAATTTATGAAGAATTGTTGTCAGAAGGTTTTATGGCTTTATGATAAAAAGTTGTGAAATGAAGAGGAAATAATTAGAGAAGGGATCCAAAGAAGCAACTTGTTGACAAAGCAATGAAAGGAACAAAATACGAACCCAACAAGTTTTTCAGTGAGCAAAACTGTTTGGCTTTATTTAGGGTATGCTGTATTTAAGGTTTGGTGGCTTCGCGGGGAGAACCCTTTCCAGAGTAGTTTTGATCAGCTTTCAATGGTTTTTGAAAGGAATTTATGAAGAATTGTTGTCAGAAGGTTTTATGGCTTGATGATAAAAAGTTGTGAGATAAAGGAATCCAAAGAAGCAATCTGTTGACAAAGCAATGAAAGGAACTAAATACTAACCCAACAAGTTTTTCAGTGAGCAAAACTGTTTAGCTTTATTTAGGGTATGCTTTAGGGTTTGGCGGCTTCGCGAGGAGAACCCTTTCCAGAGTAGTTTTGATCAGTTTTCAAAGGTTTTGAATAAAGGATTTATGAAGAATTGTTGTCAGATGGTTTTGTTGTTTGATACTAAAAAGTTGTGAGATGAAGAAGAGTCCACACAAGCAATCTGTTGGCAAAGGAATGAACAGAACTAAATACTAACTCAACAAGCTTGTTCTTCAGTGAACAAAACTGTCTGGCTTTGTTAGTTATTTTGTATTTGTGTTTTCTCCAAACAGTGTGGACACACTAGGGGTTCTTACAGTAATTGTTAAGCGCCGGGCTTAGATCGAGGTTACGACGCGGCCGCGCACGGCTAATTCATTGCTATTTACAGTACACTCATGACTCATGCCTCTCGAAGTCGTCGATATGCATTTCGACGGCGCAGGCTCGCGAAATCTGGGTGGCGGCGGCGGGCGCTTGTCGCGACTGCGCTCTCGTTGTGGCGTCGTGCGCATTTTCGCACACGGCGGTCACTTTTCGTGGCAGGCGCAAGGGGGCCTCGGGTTTGGGCGGTCCAAATTCGACTTTTCGTGACAGGCGGAGCGGTTTTACTTCGAAATGCAAGTGCAGTGAATCGTAGCTTTTGGACAGGCGGCCCGCTTGCAGATTCGTGGCAGGCACAGCACTTTGCCAACCTCGAAGTACCAGTACAGATATCGCGGCAGGCGCAGCACTTTGTGTGCAGATTTCGTGGCAGGCACAGCGCCTTGTGAACCTCGAAGTGTAGATTTCATGGCAGGCACAGCGCTCTGTGAACTTCGAACTGCAGATTTTGCGGCAGGCATAGCACTTTGCGAACCTCGAAGTGCAGAGTTCGTGGCAGGCGTAGCACTCTGTGAACCTCGAAGTGCACATTTCGTGGGAGGCGTAGCGCTTTGTCAACCTCGAAGTGCACATTTCGTGACACGCGCAGCATTTTGTGAACCTGGAAGTGCAGATTTCGGGGGAAGCGCAGAATTTTATGAACCTCAAAGTGCAGGTTTGGTCGCAGGCGCAGCTCTTTGTGAAACACCGTTTGTAGATTTCGTGGCACGCGCAGCGCTTTGTTAGCTTCGAAGTGCAGATCTTGTGGCAGGCGCATCGCTTTGTGAACCTCGAAGCGCAGATTTCGCTCTCAGATGCTCACTCCCACTCACTCACACTCACAACGCCCACTCTCACTCACTCTCGCTCTCTCACTCTCGACTCTCTCACTCACTCTCACTCATTCACACTTTCACTCTCACTCTCACTCACACCACCCACTCTCACTCTCACTCTCAGTCTCACAAACACTCACCCTCACACTCTCTTTCACACTCTCACTTTCATTCTCACTTTCATTCTCACTTTCACTCACTCTCACTCACGCTCTCAATCTCTCACTTTCATTCTCACTTTCACTCACTCTCACCCACACTCTTACTCACACTCTCAATTTTACTTTCACTCACACTCACTCTCGCTCACGCTCACTCTCTCACAATCAATCTCACTCACACGCACCATCACCTCTCTGGACCCCAATGCGTCTACACCAGACTTTCAGCTGCTACACCTCTAGACCTCACACACACTGTTTGGGGCCTCTTGCCAGCATAATTTCTGGCTTTTTCTATAATTTTGTCAAAACAAATTTTATTAAAAACATATCTGTCTATATATATATGTATATATATATATTTTTTGTTTGATATATAATATATTTATATTATATATATATACTAGCTGCTAGCTTTATTTAGGGTTGTTGTTAATCAGCAGGGAATCTAACTGTATTTCGGGTCCCTTTATCAATCATAGGTCAACATTATCAGTGGGGGCTTTGCAAGGTGGTGGCTGGTGGGTAGGGTGAACCCAGAGACCTTGGTGGGGGAGATTGCCAAAGTGCAGTCAAAATGGATGTTTATGCCTTGGTGACGCAAGTGAGGCCATGTAATATGGTTTAATATGTATTGCATCATTAGCAGCCGGCCTAATTGTGTGTACGGTGATTCCCCGCCAAACATGGGCGCATGGGTTATTACCGTTTTCTGTGCTGCTCCGCTGTAGAAATAAGCAGGCAGGTGTCATACTGGCAGCAGTGAATGCGTTAGAACACAATAATGTAAGTGGTCCAAGAGACGTTGGGCGGAAACGCGCCGTAAGTGACGGACTCAACCAAAAGGCCATGTTTGTGGGGTGCCCTTTTCGATCGTTTTATCAAGGATATGGGGAAGAAAAAGGGCACCAGCGACAAGAGCAAACTCTCACCCACAATGACCTCACATGGCAAGCACGGTCAAACCAGCGAGTGCAACAATTTCAAAAATGCAGCCTCGACTGCACACTTCGACAACAATTATACTGCTTGTAGAGTTCTCAGTGTCGACGTGGGCTGGTTTTCGTCCCCTCCCTTCTCAGGTATATCATATTCATCTATATATTTATATATATATATATATTTATATACATACACATGTACAAGTGCTGATGCTGCATGAGGGTTTGTTGGTGGCAATGCCATTGTTAAGGCGCCCATGTTGCAGGAGTTGTGAGTATGTGGCATGGCTGGACAGCGATGCCTACATCGCTTCATCGGAGCCTTTGGAGATGGCCAGCCCGGTGAAAAAACTTGTAACTTGCCCCAGAGGAACACAGGAATCAAGTTTATCTAGGCCAGTACCGCATTTTTTGATAGCCTAAACAAGCACCTTTCCGCAGGTCCTGGAGGAATATGGGTTGATCAACAGGACTGGTCCAATACCTAGATCCAGAGTGATCAAACGAATGGTTTGAATGGGCAGCCCCCCGAAAAAAAACACACCCTGTTTATACATGTTTTGATTTCAAAAAATATCAAGAATTAAATGCGAATGTGCTTTATGGTCGCTCAGTCACTCAGCTCAAGAAAACCGTTGGCCTGGCTGTTGATGTACAAAAATTCGATCCAAAGCCCCACCCGAAAGGCTTATGGAAACGGAACCCATGACGAACAATCGGGTGTTCAACATGCAGGTTTCACAGTCTTACACATCAGGGTTTGCACTTGTAATGTCGGTAGCAGATTTGCGGCGCTTGATACAAAGGGCAACGCCGAGGACCGAGGATGTTCGGTCCCCGGACAGGTCCGACTTTGTACGTCGTGAGCATGGGCACCTGCCATTGCGAGAGGTTGTTGACGCCTTGGACGCCCTGCAGTTTTCCTACGTGTCTTTTTTGCGGTGCTTCGAGGAGCTCGACGCAGAGCCCCAAAATCAAGTTGATGTTAAAGACACCGAGGCAATGGTTTTGACAAAGGAAGAACGTTTGAAGCGGTATTGTGCTGTCAAGCCACCAATTGAAACATCGAGTGATACAGCTGTGCACCAGCTCTACCGCTTACTGAGTAACCTTCAAATTCTTTGCCCTGCGGTTCCTGAATGCGTGACGAGCCCTTCACCGGTGGATATTGTGGATGAAGCAGCGGAGCTGCCAGAGTCGAATTGGCAGGAGTTGGTCACAGAGTGGAAAGCCAAGGGCAGCGAGTGCTTCAAAAGAAAGGAGTTTCAAGTTGTCACTTGGCGTGCAGACCGAGAAGAGAACAAGTAGGCGCGGGTGGATTTGCCAGAATAATTGGCATTTGGGTCTAGAAAAACCTCAGCCAAGGCCGTGGAGCACTACACCCGGGCTATCCAAGCGTCTCCGAAGAATGCGGAGGACGCCGCATCTCATTCATTTGGCTTGGCAGCACTCTATTCAAATCGATGCGCCGCCCGTTTGCAGCTTGGTGACCAGCTGATGGCCTTGGCGGATGCACATGTTGCAGTGGAGCTAGCCCCTACTTGGCCCAAGGGCTATTTCCGAAAGGGTTGCTGTCTCAGAGAACTTGGCAATTTGGAAGAAGCAGCCTTGGCCTTTGGCGCCGGCCGAAAGCTGGAGCCAGAGAACAAAGATTGGGAAAAAGAACTCGAGAAAATCGACAAGCTTTTGCTCTCAATGTCAGCTTGCCAGGCTCAAGATTGAATTGATGTATCCAGTACAGTAATTGAATACTGTTCCAAATGTCATTCTGTATCAAGTGGCATCCTGTGTCGCAGGATTTTGTAATTAGCACGGCTGGCCCAGCTAGGTGAAGCAGTTTGTGCTGCAGTTGCTACCAGATATTCTGGCGGCTTGGCTTCGTGTGCCACCGAGTGGGGCTCCTGGAAAGGTTCTGCAACTGCAAGTGACCCTTGGCCTAGTGTTATTCGCGCGCTGCAGGACAGAAACATAGTTGTTGCAGGTTGTGCCCCTCCCAAACACAACGCAACACGGGGTTGAGGGGGCGGGCCAATCTTAGAGCGGCAGACATCTCAGAAACGACGATGGACATGCAGATGCTCACACTCCAGAGGTAGGTAGTAGTGGGCTTGAGGTCAACTAGGGGCGGAATGCAGCGGCGCGTGGTAAAGGCAACGGCGGCCTCACAGACTGCAAAGGCCATGCTTAATCAAACCTCCAAAGAAGCTTCAAGATCAAGATCCAAATCCAAAGCTCAAACCCAAATCGAATGCGTTCAACAAGGCAGGGGCCAGTCAACGGGGAGCTTGGCAATTTGGTCTCAGTGCGGAATGGATGCCCTCAGCTGCAGGTCGCAAGCAGCTTGAACACGTCCTCATGATGTAGCACAATGGAAACGGAGTTGGGCAGGAAAGAAGGGAGAACATCCGGGATATATGGGACACTTAAATTTGGATGTGTTTTTTAAGTATTGTTTGTTGGATATGTTTTCTTGCGCTTGTCTTGTTTTTTCTATCTTGTCCTTGCTTCTCACTGCTTTTCCTGCTTTTCTGTGCCTGCGTTGCCTTTCCTTGCTTCTCACTGCTTTTCTGCGCTTGTGTTTCTTTTCCTTGCCTTTCACTGCTTCTTTGTGATGCTGCTTTTTGTGCCTTCTTTCTTGCTTGGTTTTTCCTGCTGTTTCTCCTGGTTTGCTTGTTTGTTTGTTTCCTTCTTCTCGTCTTTTTCTAGCGTAGTGAGTACGATTGATCTTTGATTATTAGTTGTTGCTGTCGCTTTTGAGGCATAGTTACCAAGAAAAAATGAATAAGCATCAAGAGAGAAACAATACGCATCAAACAAAGTGTGTCGCCTGGTCCCTTGGTCCCTTGCTTGGTCTATGTCCTTCTGGTCCAACATAGGTCCTTTGCTCCCTCCTAGGGCACGCATGTAAAAAAAATTAATGATGTCTTATCAATCTTATTGCTTATGTTTGTGAGCCCAAATCTTAGTCCTGGTCCCCCTTCCTCTTTCCTTGTTGCTTGCTTCTTGTGCGTGTTTTTAAAGTGTGTGTGTGTGTGCGCGCGTTTGTGTCCAACTCTGTTTCCAAGAGCAACTGTTTAAACTTCCAGCAGGGGGCCAGTGCATGGCGTCACGACGCTGGCCAACGAAGCTAGTGATGTCATGGGAAGCAGTCGGAGACGGCTGACTGTGTACCTGCCGAATTCTTTGCGATTTAAACTCACTCGTGATCCAGTGACTGAAAATTTTGCTCACTCACTTGAGCTATATAGTATAGTAAATATATCTAAGTCTGACCAGCAGCATCTTCCCACTTGGGTACGCCGCGTGATCCCTCCGGGGGGCCTGCTTCAGTCCTTTGGCAAAGGTGAACATTTCAGATCCCTGCGTTTGCATCGTGAGCCAGCTTCAGATCAAACCTGGCCGCTTGAAAGATCCGAACTATACTGCCGAGTTTGCGGAGAATATTTGGCTGAATTTCACTGCACCTCATGGAGTTTCATCGAGTTTTCCAGATGTTGCCATACATGACTTTCACTCCTTCTTTTTGCTCTTGCTCTTCTCTCCCTTTCGTTCTATCTAGAGGCTTGTTCGGTTGTTTGTAAATCCAGGTTGCGCCGATACCGGCTATATCATCACCAGCTTTGACTGGTACCAGCTTTTGGGCGCACAAGAATTTGCCAATTCGGCGCCCAGTCGACCTTTCTCTCTCTTTCCTTGAGTCCTTGCCCCCTGGCTTTGTTTATGCGGCCACCATGCCATTTCAATCTGGCAAATTTTCTGGCATGCCTTGAAACATGTGAAGCATTTTCATGACAGACTACAGTGCAAATGCCAAGCATAACTAGCATCACTGTGTAAAGCTAACCTACTCGCAGCCCGTCGCGCCTGTGGTTAAAGTTCGCATGGTAGCGGAGCAGGGATAAGGGTAGCCCCTTTGAGCTCCATCTTTGCCTTTGCCCTTGTGATCATTACATGGCCTTGCACTACAACCTAAACTATTCAATCTTTAAGAAATATTTGATGAGACGTCCAAGGAAGGGACGACAATTCAAGAAGAGTTGAAATCTGCTATTCTTTTGAGATGCGTAGGTGGACAACTCAAAGCCATACTTGGGCTTGACAATTGGCGACAATGTTCAACACTCAACTTTGAGGGAGCAAGTGTTGCAATGCAATCGTTCTCAGCAGAAGTGGGCTACTTCCATGGTGGCAAGTAGCAGTACAGACTATCAAGGGCCCATGCCAATGGACATTGATCGAGTCCAAGGTGCCAAAGGAAAAGGTAAGAAGGGCAAGAATGACCATCAAAAGGGCAAAGGCAAAGATGCCAAGGAAAAGGAGATCACAAAGGAGAAGAAGGTGATCACAAGGGCACAGGTAAAGGTAAAGACCAGAAAGGTAAAGGTGTGGCAACATGTTACACTTCTCGAAAGCCAGGACATCTTGCGAAAGACGGTTGGAGGAACAATATTCGACAGGCAGCAAGCGACTACTCACACGGTTAACAATGTTAGCCAGCAGAGTAGCTCAGCAGAGACCAAGCCGGTCAGGAGAATTGTGAAGTGAGCCAATCATCTTTGACTTGCGAGAGAGGGCTAGAAGCTCATAAAATTCGAGTGATTCACTTCTACATTGGAGGTGATGATGGTGATGATGATGGTGATAATAAAGATTTTGAGGAGATTGACATCTCAGATGATGAACCCATGGGGCGGCAATCGAGAAAGAAGAAAGGAAAGATGAAGACCTTGAATGTGAACTGCAATTGAGCCCAATGGATGTAGACAAAGTCTTGGTGAATGGAATAGAATAGAGTTGGCTAAGGGTTCTTCTTTAGCAACTTTGAGGGCAGCATGTTCATGTTCATTTCTCGGCATTTCAGGCATTTGCTCTAAGCTAAAGGTCTATACAAAGATCCTCAAGAAAATAGAACTCTTGAATGCGAAAAGCTTAGTGAGTGAAGCAAAGGCTCAAGAAACAAGAGAGGCATTGGGTCAAAGTGTGGCAAAGATGCCAGGTGACCTGAAGCCATGTGCCAAATGGTGTGAGGAGTGCGTTGGGCGTCGGGCGCGCGCAGGTCGCCTGAGGTAAGCTCTGACTTGTGCTACGCAAGAGCAAGAGATTCAGAAACAAAGTCAGCAAGAGCAGTATGGTTGCAATTGACGGCCAGACTGGGTTCATTCATGTTGCGCCAGTAGGAAGCAAGAACCCATTTCGCCGAATTTGGCAAGAATTGATGAATTTCAGTCAGTTGTTGGTGTATTCAGCAATCACCTATAAGAGTGACAATGGGCCCACAACAAGGCAAATCCTCAAGATGCTGATCAATGCTCGCCACAGTCTAGGACTCACTACAAGATTGATTACTTCAAATCTTGGAGACCATTCATTTCTGCAGGGGAACACAGTCGGCAGAGTGAGAAAACTTGCAAGAAGTTTCATTGAAGGTGTGCAGTCAAGACTTGGTATCAAGATTTTGACTTGGGCAGCAAGACATGCCAGTTGGGTGCTGAATAGATTTCAGCCAGTCAAGGGCGCAACTCCCTATGAACTTGTATATGGCAAAAGCTATAAAGGACATCTAGCTGAGTATGGTGAACCATGTCCTGGTTACATCAAAAGTTTCAATAAGGGAGAAGCGGGATGGCGCCTATGCTTGTTCTTGGAAAAGGTTGGGAGACAAGACACACTTACAGATGGCGCGCAGGTAGCGCTAGTAAGTGCATCAGAGGAGCAGACCAAGATTGGTCCAAATATTATTTGCAAACCTACAAAAGCTTCACTGCTTATTCATGGGAATACCAAACAAACTTTGGAGGCAGAAGCATTGCCGGCAGCGCAGACAGACATTCCTCGAGTGCGATGTTGAACCTCAAGGATTCTTGGAGGAGGAACTGGCTCAGGGAAAGAAGAGGCACTATTCCCACAACCAACGCCGACGCCAGCCCCGCTGAAATTTCCTGTGGAAGCAATGAAAAGGGATGGAGGTGAAAGGAGGCCAAGTGGAGAGGAAACCCCAAGTAAGAAGCAGAAAGAAAGTTGTCTTTGCAGATGAGAAAACGCTTCAAAAGGTGAAAGAATGGCAGGACAACCCAATCCAGTTACTCCCATACTATATTGATTGAGATCACCATCAGCGCCTTCAAGACCAAGGGTGCTTGAACAAGAAAAACCCTATGAAGAAGCAGGCCATCAGATGATTCGAGCTAGAAAGCCAAGATCAATTTGGTGAAAGTTGCAGGTGAAGATATTTATCACGCAGACGAAGAGCTATCCCCAGTTGCAGAAGAAGTTGATGAAGAAGACTGGGAATGAAGAAGGCTGGGAAGAAGAAGGAGATGAGCTAGAAGAAGATCCAGAAGAATGGATAGACAGAGTAGCTGATGAAGTTGAAGAGAAAAGACTCCAGAAGATGCAAGCGCTAGAGAAACCAGAAGGTAGCACAGAAGGAATCCGTTTCCTGACAACACGCAATGTGTATGACTGGAGAAAGAAGCCCTACCACCATGAAGATGGAACAACAACCAAGAGGTGGAAAATAAGATCAAGACTAGTTGCAAGAGAATTTGCTTTCGCTGAAGGGAAGAGAGATGACGTTTTCTCACCAGCGATTTCAGGACATGTACTGAAGCTTCTACACAATACCCTTGCAGAGAGTCAGCAAGAGAGGGAGGAGGAGCATTTTCCCAGACGCTAGGATGCCTTGATGTGAAAGATGCATTTTTGCGGGTTCCGCGAGAGAAGCCATTGAAAGTGAACTTGAGAGGAGAAGGATTCTCGGGGAAGAGAATTTACCTGGACAAAGAGTTGGGGCAAAAGCATGGTTTGACTTTTTCACAGAGTACCTCACCGAGGAAGCCAATTATAGGTTCAGTGCCATTCAGTGCTGAGTGTCCATGCCTAGGGAGAAATGAGAAGAGTCTCATTTTGATTCATGTGGATGGCTTGGTTCTCACAGGTTGTTCAAAGTACATCAATGAAAATTTCTTCCAAAGAATCAAGACAGGTTTGACACCAGCGTGAGCAAAATTGAGAAGATTGGTGATGAGTTCAACTTCCTGTGGGGAAAGTACAAACTTGAGAAAGATGGACTATGGATCCAGCCAGGTAACTACACCCAGCAGATGCTGAAAGCGTATGACATATGAAGAACAGATTGATTGGGAAGGTCAGACTTCAGCAACTACCATCAGACCACTCAATTCAGATGGACGATAAAACAGAAGTCTTGCGCGAGCAAGGGAAGATCAGCCTTTTCAGAAGCATTGTTGGATCAGGTATCTACCTATGTCCAGAGAGGTATGATGTAGCATTTGCAGTGAAGGAATTTGCTTCAACAATGTCAGATCCAACAGCTATGTCATTTCACCACTTGAAGAAGTTCCTGGGATACTTGAAAAAGGCCATGGACTATTGTCTAGTAGTTGGGTTCCACAAGCAGAACGCTACTAGTGCTTGGAAACATTCTCAGGCTCAGATTGGGGTGGAAACAAAAGCCACATAAAATCAACTTCCGGAGGGTTCCATGCATTGAACAGTTGTCCATTGTTCAACAGCAGCCGGATACGGAAGATCATGCGCTTATCTTCATGTAAAGCAGAGTTGCGCGCAATAGTTTCTTCAGCATCAGATGGAATCTACATTCGCTCAGTTCTTGACTTTGCTCTTGGGACCTAGGTGGACAATTATATCTTCACAGATTCTTCAAGTGCGCGCCAACTTGTGATGAAGAGAAGAGTTGGAAAGGTGATACATTTGGATGGAAAGTTGCTGTGGATTCAGGACAGGAAAGACTTCAAGACGGTACAAGCACCAGCAGATCGCAACAAGGCAGACATCAATACCAAGCCACTTGTTGGAGGACAAGGAATCAGGTACTTGATGAACCTCATTGGTTTTTGGCATAGTGAAGAGCAACCAAGAGTAGGAGAGCATGCGAGAAAGGTATTTGAAGAGAAAAAGAACTTTGCAGGAAAGGTCAATAAGATTGCCAAGATGATTGTCCATCCAGTTAGGGGGCAGAAGCGGCGAGACTTTGTGCAAGCCGGAACCTCTTTCTCACAGAGATAGCGTTCCGACAACAGCAGCAGAGGTCAGTGCAATGTCGGCTTCGCCCCTTCAACAATGATATATTGTTAGGGAGGCTGGCTTTCGTCCGTCCATTTCAGGTATATATCGGACCTACAATTCGGGGCAACACGCTCACAGCAACGAAGAGGGACACTACTAGCGAGGACGAGACTCACGTCCGAGAGTCACATCATACGTGCCCGTGATGTAAGAAAGGAGACGGCAGGTCGCAACTCAACTCGAGCTAGCGCTAGCTAGCAACGTACAGGTGTTGAAGTGTACTTAGCAGTGTGGCACATAAGGAAGTGGACAAGTTCATAATGTTGCCTCATTCATCACAAAACGATGACAATGCGAATGTGCTTTCAAAATGCTCCGAAAAAGACTTCGGCTAGGTGCAGTCATATGAGTTTTTTGCACCAACGACTTTCTATCAGAGGGATGCAGCAGAGATTTTGGCTACTGTTATCATGTCCTACCCAACCATACCCAACCCATTGCATCATTCATTGCGAGAGCTGCACTGGATCTCAAGTCACGCTGCCTGTCCCAGGAATGGATCTTTCCAGCAGCTGTCAGCCTGCAAGTGGCGTCAACTTCAAGATGGCCTGCAACCTGGAAAGGCACAAATCAGATATGCATATTTGGAGCAGATGCTGAGTCCAATTCAGTGGTTTGTTTGTTTCTTGCGCATGTGCCTGCAAGCACTTACAGCAGGTTGGTGTAAACATGTGTTGGCTATACTAAGGTCACTAAACTACTGGTTCCGTCCGTGGTTTTTTCGGCACAGTAGCCGATAGATAGAGCACTTTAGACACCAAGTTCACAGACTTGTGGGTTTTGTAGGGAACTTAGTTTGTAACTGTATTGATTGCCTTTGCATTAATCAAACATGCCAGGCCAACCCAAACACAACGAGTTAAGTTCTTGCGATCAGGAAAGGCTATTTGGCGAACTTGGTCGCGAACTTGCAAAGCCCCTCGACCGAAGGGTTTGCCATTGCTGATCTTCATGGCCAAGCGCTGAGCCTTCCAGCAATAAAGAGTTTCTTCAAGGAGAGCACAGTTGCAGTCCACATCGATGTCAAAGACGATAAAGACGGCAAGATGAAGGCTATCCTTTTCAGGCTGCCAATAGAGGAGGGTTTGGAGCGTTTTGTATGCAAGCCCAAAGATCCAGATCCGCCCAAAGCTTCTGTGGACAGCGTGCTCACTATCCAGAGGCGAAGTGGTTTCCCAAAGTCCTATCCAAAGTACTTGGGTTTCCAGATGTTCCCGGGAGATTTGAATTTTCCCGTCATTGACCTCCTCCGAGATGCTCCCGCGCATGCTGACATGTAGAAAAGGTAAGCCGATCAACGTTGGAGAAAGGCGTTTGAGTTTGGTTTGGTGGCAGTTGTGATGTTGATGCTGACGACGTTCTTATGTCACGTGGTCAGCCACGAGTGGCTCAAGGTGGCACTGGTTGTGGCTCCCCGGGCCGCCCGGGCCCTAAAGTCCGTTTCGTTCATGCTGTCGGCACCCATCTCCCCAACATGGGCCCGCCAATCACCTCAGAGCGTTGGTTTTTGCGCAGTCTCATTGTGCATTTGGTAAAGTTGACCTCAGAGATGAAAGAGCTTAGCCCAGTTGCTCTCGTACTTGCTTTTCCTGGCAGGGGTTGTGGTTGCAAGATGTTGCAAGCCCATCAGCTTTTCTGCTGGACCAGTCCTGGATCAGGTGTGCACGCATGTGCATGCCAGGCATTGGCGGCGATGGCGACCTGATGCGACAGCAGTTCTTGATGCAGATGTACATGGCAATTACAGCAGCACTTGACCCGCGTGATAATGACGGGCATGAAAATTGGGATGATGAGCCCTCACATCCCTCAACAAGTGAGCCTGCTGCCCTGCGCGAATCCTGCCAACCTTACAGCGAATGCTGCAGGAAAGAAAAGCCATCATGGTTCATGATTATCGTGATGATGATCTTGATCGCGTTCGTTTGCGCATCACGCCTACTAGCATGTGTGGTTTGTGCGGTGCGATTTGCTGACCTCTTGTGACTTGTGATGGCTGAGGTGTGTCCTGGACCGTCGTCTCTTCAACCATCCGAACCATAAGCCGAGAGCAATCGCCTCAAGTCACCACATGCGGTGGTAAGGGCGAATTAACATCTGGCTCGGAGACAAAGCCTACGGCTTCACAGGCTCAAGGGCAATCAGCAGCGCCATGTCCATGACATTCCACAGCATTTTGATGGCGTTTGATGGTTTTCCGACCTCCCAGGGATGACGAGTTGAAGGTGACTCAATCACTGCAGTTTACCAAGGAGGAGCACTTCCAGCAGCTTCCGGCATGCTGCAGCAAGCTTGTGGCGCGCGAGTGGTGCAGGTGATTGCAGTCAGTGGATGGGCAGTGGAAGCTGCAGTTGACCAACTGTTGGCAATTTCATGCAATGTCTGTTGACCACTAGCTGCAGCCCCATTCTTACGGAAGGATCAGAAGGAGAACGAGCTGATTCGTGAGGTTCCACCAGATCATGGCAATACAGCGAGGCGATCCAAAAAGGAGTGTTTTGCTTCCCGACTCTCGCTCACAAGCTGTTTGTTACTTTTTCGCACCATTGTGTTTTGCTTCATGGCCATAAGGTGGGTTGTCCTCACGGCGACTTTTCTTTTTTGCGTCAGCTTTGGCACGTGTGAGCCCAAATTTTGTATCATTCACCGGGGCTCGTGCCTCATTTTTGTTAATTTGAGGGCATCCTTTGCGAGAGGGGGACTTGAGCAGGCTGGGCTGTGGATAAGTTGTTCAGCATATTTATGCTGTCTGATGAAGGCGAAGCACTGTGAACATCTCTGACCATTTCATGATTGTGCGGAACACGCCCGTGGACTGGGCCCCAGTCACCGAGGTGAACGCACGTCTGGACCAACAACATTCATCCGTTGTGTTTTATGTCAGGGGGGGGCAGGGCAGCCATAAATCATTCAGGCACGGCAGTTGATGGCACAGTGGTTTTGGCCTCAAACTGGAACAGATTTTCAGCATCCGGGTAGTTGTTTTGATTGTCAAGGTTTCGAGCGCCTTTGGTTCGTTCGCAAAGTTTGGGGTGAGGGCCCCAGGCAGCAAACAAAATTATGTATTTATTGTTCAGTGTTTCCAGATCGAGGAGCGGTGGTTCACGGTGTATGTACAGTAGTTATATAATTTACGTAATTTATGTATGTGTATATATATATAGATGTATGTATGTGATATCTAGTTTCTCTTCAGATTTTGCATGTTGATCAAATGTTTGGATGCACTTGGAGGCTCAATTTGCCAATGAAGAACACCACGAACATTTTGAACAAATCCATCCAAGATTACACACCTTAACTCTCAGCCCGCCTCATGCGAAGTAGGTTACGGATTCAGTCAGCAGCCTGCAGCTCCAAAAATGATAGAACTGTACTTGTGTTTCGCAATTGTCCCCTAAGTTGCAGCAAACACTAGTTAGTAGTTGGATGCAACTGCTTTAATTAGAAATGGTTTTGCCTGCCTCGCATGCTGTCCCAGTATATCTTCGAGCACCTTCTGGGAGACTTGGCGATGAAAGAACATATTGCCATATATTGTCAAATTCGTGCCCGTGTTCAGTCCATAGTAAAATATTGAAACGGATTGAATGTCTTGAATAAAACCCCTTCCTGTGAATGATTATGAATGTTCAATCCCATTGGCCCTCAAAAGGTCTCCGTTTGGAGAATCAATGCGGCCAAGCAAGAGTTATATAAATCAGTGCAATTCAAAGATTGCAAGGCTCTTGGCGATGGATTGCATAGGCTGCAGCTGTATTGCGATGGATGTGTTTCTTCACTTGCCGGCAAACATGGATCCGAACACGTCAAAGAATTTTGTTCTTCAGGGTTTTGTGTCAAGGAAGGTTATGCAAATTGCGATTCATACAGACAAGGTGGACACAACAAATTGTACAGTTTACTATGCTTGATCCTTTGCCACTTGTTTTTTTGTAACTAAGGAGAACTGCGCTGTACTATGTCCCCCAGCCTGAAGAGGAGAGCTTGCAGGCTCAAGAGGCTGTGGGAAAGAGAGTTCCCTAAGGTTTCAGTCATGATAGTTATCATGATTCTGGTAAGACACCGTCTTCTTTTTTGGAATTTTCAGGATAGCCGTCGGATAAGTCTTCATGCCTCCATGCAGAAATGAGTTTCAACAGCACTGTGTGAGAGCAAACCATGCCTCGAAAATTGTGTCGTTTGGGAGCAAGCCCTAAAAACGTCAAGCAAAGGTGGCAAAGAACCTAGTCCAATGTTATTCATTTATTTTGAGGCCAAGCAGCTGATGCAAGACCGAAGCAGGTTGCAATCCTGGTTGCAATATGTGTGAGATGTCAATGAAAATGAATTAGATACTGCAGCAACGCCTTGTTTGTATCCGATTTCGGGTTTGACTTCTTAGTTGTGACATGCCCACAAATACAAGTATATCGGGAAAAGTTGCTGAATATAATTTATAATCCATATATGCACACGACATAAAGATATATAAACCTGAAAGTTTCCAGGGTCTGAGATCCAAGGTTCCTCAGCAGTTTGTCAGTGTGTCGGTAGGATTTATGAGCACGAAATGTCTAGGAATGTTGAATATATTGCAGTATGTATTTAGGGGGCTTTGCTTCTTGGACCAAGATGCCAGGTTACATTTGGATACATCCAGGCTGAATTGGAGCATGTTGGTTCCAGGTATGTTATGAAGACATATACCGAAGGGAAGTTGCGAAGCAAGCCCAGCAAGATTAACTTGCATGTTATGTAGCGTCGCAATCCTTCTCCTTACACTTTTGCGACTGTTCAAGGTGGCACCGGTCTGACTGGTAGCGGTGTGCATGTGTACCAAAGCATGTTTTTCATTGTGGAGTCATACTTATATATGTCGAAAGTTTGACTTTGTTGAGGCCAGAGACTCATCTCAATGTGGGCGATGCTGTTTACAGACAAGGAGCTCCAGACGGTAGTATGTGTATATATGCAGATCACACCATTTGTGTGCAAGTTTTGTGCAGCATATAGTTGGTATGAGTTGAGTGCAGTTTGCACACTGAGGATACTAGAGCAATGAAAGTATAGAATATATAGACGAGAACCTCAGGCTAGACACCCTGATCAAGCAAAAGGCAGGCAATGGAAGTCGAAGCCGAATGAAAGCCGGAAAGGGCGAAGCAGGATACTGTAAATCTGGCAGCCACCAACAAGAAAGAACCGGTAACGTTGCATCAGCTACAGACATGTTGGTCAATTGCCTGCAAATTGGCAACGGAATGCTTTTGCTACATCCAGCCGCAAGAACGGAAGGCAATCAGGAACTACTTTTGGGGCTCTTAGATATTATGTTTGGGGTGCTGTTTGCTCGTGCCCCAATGTCAGAATTTGGTCTTCAGAAAACTAAATGTGGACTGAGTTGAAACAAGAACAGAATTGAAAAGTACATGAATCATGAAGGAAGGCAGAAGGAATTAGAGGATAGAACTATCTTGGAAACTGAGGAAGAGATTCCATAAGCCGTGTGTGTGTGTGTGTGTATGTGTAAAACTTTTGGAATCACGAGGTGCCTGTCAGCTAGATGTTTACCTTTTGCACTTGTTCCTTTCTTGGAAGCAGGGGGATCATCCATGTACTGTGCGCCATGGTTAAACGAACCGACCACAGTGCACGCAAATATCATGCTGATCACTGTGACGAGAAATCCTTGTCTAGAGTTCAGTCGCCGATCGAAATCAACCCCCATTTAGGTGGCCATGGCTTTCCAAGTGGGATATCGAAGCTTGGTCTATGGTTATGTCGGTGCCATAGTTGGAGACCAGCCAACGACCGGAGGCATGGACCGGCTGGGGCTATGGGTCACCATGGGTCAGCCAGCCAGTGGAGTACAGGGCCCGTTTTCTGGTGCATCGTACACAACTGCATGCCGCGTGTTAGCCCAATCCGATCCGACTTGAAAAGTTGAAGAGGTTGGCCACTTTGGGCGGGGACTGCAAAGACCCGGTCCTCTTCAGAGGCCGGTCGCATCGGTGACCAATTTCTTCTCAAACAAATAGAATGGCCAGGCTCCAAAGCGCACAGGCACCTCTTCCTATACTTGAAGTCAGCCAGCTCTCGCTCTCCGGAGAAAAACACACCAAAAGCATATTGACAACTATGCTCCAGTCTAGATTTCAGGCTGTTTAGGCGCTTTGTGTACGAAAGCCAGAAAACGACTGGAAACCAGATTTCAAAAGTCTTGAATTCAGACTTAACCTCTGTCCATATACCTGGCTGTGTCATTCTGCAACACTCTCGAATCTAGACGCAAGCCTTTTTGGTAATCCACTTCTTAGTTTTCACATAAAACCAAATTTAACTTGTTCTCATTCGTGCGTAAGGCATTTTGATCTGGAAGTTGAATGCAAGCCTGGGCCATTGTAGTGTTAACAATTCAGCTTCCATTTGGATTTGGGCTGCTGGCGCGGGTCATAGCGCATCAGATATTCCTTTGCATGGACTGATCTGGCAGGACAGCTTGCGTCTGTAGTGGCGGTGGACCACAGCCTTAGTCCACCTAGCTACGTGGTGCGCATGGCTCAAAGCGGTGAAGAGGCAGCGCGACAGAATTTGCATCAAAACGACTGCGGGTTCAAACTTGAAAGATGCATTTCTGAGTGCGAGACTCATGCGACGCACGCCAGAAATGTTCAATCACACTGTGCGCGTTGAAGGTATCAAGGTGTATCAATTGCGGCGTTGAAGCTTTTTTAAACCCAATGTTGCCGTTGTAGAGAGGAACACATATAGGATAGAAGTCGCTCGCAAGATTCTAAGAAAGCTGAACAAAAAGGCAGAGGGGAAGACAGGGTGAATTGTCAATGGCGTTCTGCGCTGGTGCGGCTGGGCGCGCAAATGTTATAAAGTTTGTCTGTCAGAAGTTGCGCGTTTCACCATGTCATGACAGAACCCTTTCACGCGGCGGCCTATACAGTGGCCTACGGCCCCTCCAGGAAAAGGGCACGATCGCGTTTTTTTGCATGGTAGCGGAGCCGGGCACCCACCCCACCTGAAGCCACGCTGGCGCTCTTCGTGATGATGATCGGTGGTGTTGAGCTGATGGAGAACACCATGGACTTCCTCGTCAACTAGACGATGGACTTGGAGGACGATGGAAAACCAGATTTGGACGTGGGGTTGGAGCCCCATGGGTTGGCTACGACGCTTCCACACGCTTGGAGACGAGGACTATGAGATAGATTGGGACCACCATGGCAGAGCATGTTGGAGCCAATAAGTGGCACCACTATGCATGGTCAGCACGCGGTTCAGGGCCTGGCTGGCAGGATTCCCCTCCAGAGTCGGAGACTGGGTCTCGGACTCGAGATGCGTGGATGACCTGAATGACTACCAGAAAGTCGAGGAGTGGCGCCCGGACTGCGTTATAACTTTGGTCATGACGAATGACATGTACCAGAATGAGTTCCTTGCCAAGATCCATGATGCTTGAAGAGAGCTGCGGCGCGTTCGCCTTTGACTACAAGATCTTTAGCTCGATCCTGCTGGCTGCGAATGAGAAGGTCGGATGGTCTTCTTCATGACCTTAGGAGCCGGGAAGTTGAGAAAGTGTTCCAAAAAATATCCAGACGCTTGGGATTGAGAAGACGAGAGCCCAAGGGCCACTTGAGCAAATCCAAACGATGGAATGAATAACTACAACAACGTTTTCCGGTAAAGGCGTCGACTACAACGCATGTTCGGTCGCGTGATGCAACTCACCGAGGCCACCATGACTGCAGCTGGATTTTCAGCGCCTCCAGACGAACGCTTGGACAAGAAGGACAACCGAGGCAGAGGCAAACAAGGTGTTGAAGCCCCCAGAATCTTTTGAGATTGATGACCCCTCGAACATTGTCGCATGGTCTGGTAACTTCAAGAACTGGTTGACCTACGGGGGCCATTAGGTATGCGAAATGTTGAAGCAGGTTGAAGAACCTGACGAGCCATGCGCATCCGCTGAGTTTGCCACAGAAGAAACTGTTGGGCTGGGCAATCGTTTGCGCGCCAATTTGGCCTCCTCATCAGAAAGGGGCCAACAGCTCAGTTTGCGAAGGCAGCTTCAAAATCGATTTCTTCCCCACCCAACCTCGAACTATGGCAATTGGCCAACCTGTCATGGGGCTACCGCAGTTCAAGCAGGGTAAGGGTACGATGGAAAACTTACTCCTCAACACTGTCGACGCCGCCAAATCATCTGAGGCGCACGGAAGCCAATGCGAGGAAACGCTGGGAGCTCACTTTGGATGATACCGTGGACTACAACACACTCCCCGAGAAACTCATCATTGTGGACAAGAACTCATGGGCTTGGTTTGAATTTGGTGACACATGAGGCCAACAACAATGGACCTGCACCCATGGATGTCGATGACGTGAACCAAGTTGGAAAAGGAAAGTACAAAGGTGGCAAGAAAGGGAAAGGAAAGAAAGGTGGTTGGATTCCTTTTCGTTATGGAGGAGGGAGGACCGGCGGCAAGTACCAGAAAGGCAAAGGTAGCAAGAAGGAAGAGGCTGAAAGGAAGGCAAGAAAGGCACGGGCAAGTACCATGGCGCCAGTTTAGGCAAAGGCGGCAACAACCCCAACGCACGCAGAATCGGTGGCCAGTTGGGGAAACAAATGCCCCAACAAAGCTCAAACTGTGTCGCAGACGGTTCCTGTAGAGCAAGTTCGACTTTATCGCGTCGCTATACCCCACGACAGGGCAATTCGATTCCACTGATCTTTGACGTACACGATGACAACTACAAGGTGAACGCTGCGTCTATTGCCACGAATGGAGAGTCAGATGAAGAACCTGAGGTGAACTTCGTGCTTTACAAGACCTCTAAATTCTCGAAGAGACCGACTTGGCCCTTGGCAACGCAAAGCCAGAAGTGTTCCGGGAGAACTCAAGAGAAGATGTTGATCATCTTGGATTCCGGCGCAGACATTTGCCCAAGACTATGGCTGATCGAGGCACATCACAGATGCTGGGCAAAAAGGCTCACAACTTGCAACATGGAAGGAAGCTTGCGCAGATTGAGTGTGAGTTGGGAGAAGGCTCGGCGATCATCCAGACAGACTTTGTTGCTTCGGTCCAGACGCCGTCGGTGAGCACGGGTCGGCTTTTGCAGAAGGGTTGGCAACTACATCCTGGAGAATGTGAGGCTGGTGTTCAGCTGTAAGCCCCTGATGGCTGGCGAGAAGAACTCTTTGACCTTGAATGGAAGCATTTAGTGAGTTCAACGTGAGCCAGATGATCAACTACAAGGCCATATCCCAGAGATTGAGAACAAGGACGTCATGACTTCTGTGAGAGCTATGGGCACAAGGGGTGGAGAACTGGACCAGATGGCGATCCTCGCAAGTTCAGCTATGCTTTGAGAACGCTCAGCTGACGTGGAAGGTCAACTGGTGGCCATTGAGATCCGCTTTGATTCCACAGGCAGATGATGGTTCTGATTTCTGGGGCTGGTTGAACATTGCTCTCGACGTTTTGCCTTGGGCGACCCTGAGAGTGATTTTCCTGAATGCGGTGGCATTGAGAGCTACATCGAAAGGCGGAACCTTTGAGCTTTTTCGGCGCTGTGGTTGGTGAAAGACAAGGCAGCAGCGGCAAACAAAACGCCGATGAAGCAAAACGCCGATCGCGCAGGCAAACAAGTGGGGAGGCAGGTGGGGAAACAAGAATAAGGAGACAAGGCAGCAGCGGCAGACAAAACGCCGATCACGGCAGACAAGCGGGGAGACAAGAAAGAATGAAAAAACACAAACATAAATTGCACCAGCATAGACCCAGATAGCTAAGCAGATTAAGATGACTGCTACTTCAGGGTGGGGTGAACGCTCAAGGAGAGATGTACCCTTTATAATTGAGCTGAACCCAGAGAATGACCAAACCACAGAAGAAGTAGAGCAACCAGACGATGGTGTTGCCTGGGAAGGGCCTATGCCTTTTATGGCGAATTGCGACAGCCTTGTGGTGAATGGCTTGGACTTGGCCGAGAACAGAGCTTTGCCTCTATGTGGCGCTGCCGAATATCTTGGCTTGGGCAAAGGAGGTTAAAACAAAGCTTTGTGGGGAACGCTTGAATCAAGCTCAGAAGAGTGATCGTCAGCAGTTGTTTCTTGTGGCCAACAAGCTCTACAAAGAAGCGGCTCGAGGCAAAGGCTTGGTGCAAGTTCGCGTTCCACGACAACCTGGTAAATTAGATCGGGAACTTCATGGGTTGACTCAGCATCTCACTTTTAGGGATTGGTGCGACTTTTGGTTGTCTTGCAAAGGAAGAGCTGATCCACAAGAAGCGCTTAATACCTAGAGGAAGGAAAAAGAGGCGTTCTGGCGGTTCAATTTGGACCACGCCTTTGGGCGTTCAGAGGGAAGCGACAAGGCTGATCTGACCACAAAAGGAGCCGATCTTCGAGGAGCTATACAAACATTCTCAAGAGGATAAGCTCTTGTAGGAATAACCTCCAGTAGAAGGAGCTATAAGCGGAATGAACCTCCAGTAGGCTTGGATTTGGAGGACCTGGAGAATTGGCTCCAGACATGAACCGTGACGAAGAGAGAAGGGCAAGGAAGTTGAAGGACGCCCACGTCTTCAGCCTCAACCAGTTGGAGGGGGTGTTTATCCAGACGGAAACAACCTCGATACATGTTGCTTGAGACCCCATCCTGAACTGGGATGATGAGATGAAGAAAGGCTACGTGTGGCCGTGATCAGTTCATGAGCGCTTTTTAGGTGGGGTGTCAGAAGTTGTGCGTCTCACCGTGTTATGACAGAACCCTTCACGCGACAACCTTTACAGTGGCCCAAGACCCTTTCACGAAAAGGGCGCGACCGGCTGTGTCCGCGTTCTGACATTGTCGGAATTTCTTCGAGTGATTGACTTCGAGATTTTGAATGAAACCAAGTTGCCGTTGCACTGGCGGATACGGCGCCTTCTTCATACGACACGGGAGATCGAAAGTTGAAGCAAGCGGTGTGGACCTGTTTCCAGCTAGCCATTTGTGTCATCGTTGATTGAAACGGCCACCAGGCCGTCAAGCACACAGAAGGCAAAAAAATCACTTGCGCCTTGCACTTCTACGCCGCGACAAAATCTCAATCTCAAAGACACTGCAAAGCAAAGGTTGCCTTGAATCGTTGTTTTTGTACTACAAGTTGGATTGCAATAGCTTAGTACATATACTGGCGGACTGAAACTTAGAATGCCGGCCATTTTTCCAAACGAAACTCGCGAATAACTTAGAATGCCTGTCCCATTTGGGATTTAGAATGTCTGCACATTCCTGTATACAGCCGGTATTCTAAGTTTCAGTCCGGAGTTCAAACTCTGGCCTGCCAGAGAATTTGCTTTTGTGGTAAGCACTTGCAGACGGCGTTCTATCTCTGCCAGCCGAACATGGAGAATTGAAATCAACTATAGTGTCAAACCTTACAATTTTTGTTGAACCTGGTGCGGGGCATTCTAACTCTACGAAACACCGCGCCTGTCAGCAAATCTGATAGGTGGGCAAGAAGTGGGGGCAGGCATTCTATCTGCACAATTCACTGTATTTTACAGGGTTTTTGTTAACTTTTGGAGCTTTCACGGGGTTAGGGAGTCAATTTTTTCCTTCTCGTTTTTCCAAATGGGCATTCTAAGTTTCAGTCCGCTAGTATAATATTGAGTATAACGTATGAAAAACGGAACCGAACATGGAACATATGTAATTAGCGTCTCTACGCCACGCTTGGAAATTAGACACCATGTGCCTGACTCATTGACCTGGACGGTTTTCTAGGGGTTATTTGCCCCTCCAGGGACACGGTACTTGTTTTAGTTGCAAGTGAACAGCGAATGCGCAGAAAGCATTGCACTGCGCGCAAAATCAAAAAGATCCGTGACGCCCAACTGTGTTGTGAGAAAAATGCCCGCATGTTCTTGTGACCCTTAGAAGTTGATGGCCTTGCCAGGTCAACTGCGAGCTGAACAACCTAGTCATACTCAATGGGCTGAACATGCTGCAGGAGACAATGGTGGAAATCCCCGGGGCCATGCTTCCAAAGTCGATGTTTCACAAGATGTGATCTCATGTTCCGGGCGTTCGCTCTGCGCGGTCCGGTCTTGATAGGGTTGATGAGGACTCTCAAGGATCACTAGCATCAAGCAGTAAGCGCGATCATACCAAGACTTCTCCGTGGATACAAGACACAAGAGTCGCTCGTGATTCTCTGCGCCTCGCGAAAAGCATTAGCAGATATCAGCCACTTCTGCAGTTTGTAACTTGAGCCGCGCGCGATGAACTACCCTGTCGCAACCTTCCTGTCGCATGGCTGAAGGACACGAGCACATGGAGTTAGAGTAGACACTTGTTTCTTTTGGTTTATCCTGCTACAAAAGGCGCAGGATCGCGCACAGCACTATGAAGAAAATCAAGACTGGACACTCAACCAGACAGCGTCCTGTTTAACGTAGTCGCGACACCAAGACGCGCAGCCACATTGTGAAAACAAATGCATCGTTCTTTCTTAAAACGCTTAGCTTGCTGTAAAGTTGCCTTGGCAAAATGTTTTAGGACAGAAGGTTTTCCACAAAGTTGTTTGGATCAAACTTTTGGGTTCAAAAGTTTGGTGATCAAATCAGCCTCCTTTCCACGGATTGAACTCCGCCTTGGCCGGTGTAGAGACATGTTTGTCAGAGGCTCATTCCTGGATGGCGCGCCTGATTTTTTGTGAACAGTCAGTCAAGTCCATGTCGCACAGCTGAGGGTACACGCAGGTTCGAGGTATCACACACCGACTCCGGCAAGGCTCAAAGACGCGCAAAAGGTGCGCACTGTTTTTCACGGTAGCGGAGCTCTAGTGGCAACCCCATACTGGGAAACCCTCTTCGGGGAAGGTTAACCCACAAGGATTGCGACGGGCTGTTGCAATCCCAAGCGACAGGACTGATGGACTGGAGACGGAGGGCGCTGTTAGCGTGGCAGCTGGTCGACCCCTCTATAGGCTTTGGGGCACAGGGCTTTGCGGAGGCCTTGGGCTATGTGTGAACGATTGCGCTCACTCCTGACAGGTCTCGCAAAAAACGCGCTCGAAGGACGGAGAGTGTTCACCATGGACCTCCAGCCAAGGTCTTATCCAGGCTGCCCCATGGCCAGTACGAGTTGTTGTTTCGATACAGGGTCATCAATGGAGTACATCGTTTGAGATGTTGACTGGCAGGAAGTACAATGGCAAAGTAGGACTATGGGCTGCCTCTAAGCGCAAAGGAGAACCAATGTACAAGCGAGGCATTTGGGCGAGTTGGAGTGACAGTCATATTTGTCTGACTCAAACGGGCCGTTGCCAGATGCTGATCCACAGCCGAGGACTTCCATGGCAATACTCCACTCAAGGGATCCTGACGAGATCAAAGTTTGCAGCAAAGCAACGCATTGCTGACGCTGAGGAAGAAGCCACTGGAGATGAGCTTGCGGAAAAGGATGCAAAGGCTGTAAGAGAAGAGGTTGCAAGTGGCATGTATGGGCCAGTTGGGTTGCCGCCAACCCCTAGCTTCCCACCAGACAAAAACATTCGAACACCAGAGAGGACCAACGCCTGCTGTCCGAACACCTGCAATAATCCGAGCACCAGCAACGTCCCCACGTGGGAAGATCAAGAAGAAGGCTTGGCAAGATTGAAGAGGATGCCATTGACCCCAAGCCAAAGCCAAATGACTCAAAGAGGGTGGCATCAGCGCATCCACGTGTGCCTGCAGACCGTGAAGAATCAATACGCCAAAGATCGCCAAAAATGCGAAGCATTTGCTTGGGCAAAATGCTCACGCAAATGTTACTGTCTCCGTTGAGTGGCTTGAGGTAGAGCTCTGTTTGCGTGACGTTGCTCTGTTCGGTAGAATTGTTATCAACCGTACCGAATAGCGATGGCCTCCAACCGAGTGGATGCCCTTGTCGCTAGTAGCTTCTAGTTAGTAGTAGTAATGCCCTTGTTATTGGTAGCGATGCACTTGCTACTAGTAGTGATGGCCTCCAACCGAGTAGCGATGGCCTGAATGATCGCGCTATGGCCCTCCCATGTCCGAGCGAGTCGATTGTTGCCAGAAGGAAGTCTAAAGCAAGAACTGTTGGCAATTGCCTTCGCTGAAGATGATGAGCAGTTAGTTGCGCACGAGTCCAAAGAAGAAGATCAGAAGCATTCAGGAGCAGTTCCCTTGGGGAGACGGTTTTTTGGCAGAAGAAATCCTGCAATCAGCATTCAATGATGTCAGTGAAGATGAGACAGAAGAGTAGGGAAAGATCAAAGATCGACCGCCAGCAGTGACAGATGAGGAGCTTGCAAAGTTGGACTCAGAGGCACGCAAACATGAAGAAAGGCTCGGGAGGATGGGCGTGATCGAAAAGATGAAAGAAGGTGAATGGGTGAATGAACCAGATGAAGAACTACGGCTGATAAGAAGTCACCTTTTCGTCGATAGAGTCTAGAATATTTCTTAATTCCAAGTGTCTGAGTAAGAAATCTGAGGCCAGGTAGACTCTAATGTTGGGTTTCTTAATCCAGGGTTTGTATGTCCCACACATCTCTCACTTCCCCTTCCCGTCCCGCCGCGCGGCCGGCCACTTCAAAAAGGCGACCAAAAATGGGTTTGAAACTGTTTGTAAATAGGTTTGAAATACATACCCGCACCCTCGTGGGACTCCTGGAGCTTCCTGCTCAGTACCTTTGTTGACGTGCCCCACCCCTGACACCGCGAAAGGCGGCCTGTTTGATATACATCCGAACAACTCCGAACAACCTTTCCCAGCATCACCACCCGGCCGCACGGCCGGCCTACAGCAGCAGGGACCGAGCTGCTCTCAAGGGAAGTCGCCTGGTTTCTTTTTTGAATGGCCGCCAATAACGGCTTTGAAATTGAAAACAGGCTTGAAGTACATACCCCCCTGGGACTCCTGGGACTTCCTGCTCAGCACCTACGCCGCGAAAAGGCGGCCTGTTTGAAATACGCGCGAACAACTCTGAACAACCTTTCCCAGCATCACCACCCGGCCGCATGGCCGGCCGACAGCAGCAGGGACCAAGCCGCGGTTTCTCATTCAAATCACGTTCAGACTAGGCTCAGGCCTGGAATGGTGGCCACAAAAGGGCCTGAAACTGTTTAAACAGGATACGCGGGCCCTTCTGGGAGTCCTAGGCCTTCCTGCTCAGCACCTTTCATAACATGCCCCTCCCAACTGGAGCGCGAAAGGCGGCCTGTTTGAAATACATGCGAACAACCGCTTTCCCAGCATCACCACCAGCCGAGACCTATAGGTTGGTCTTGCGAAAAGAATGATGAAAACAGGCGTGCGGCTGGTAAAGAAGTATTGCTAGGCAGAATGTCAAAAAATACGAAAGAGTGCAAATTCAACCAGGCCGCCCATGTCTGCTGCAAAATGAATCCTTCTGATTGGAACGGGCGCTGCAAAATGACCTGAGACTCAGGATTTACATTCTGCGGTTGGCTTTGTGAGGCCAGGTGCGACCAAGGATTTGCTGGCTGCTGGCTTCGTCTCCACATTGCACGGAATGTTCATTAAAGCCGGCGGGTGCCTTTACGCATTCTGAAACAGGTCTGAGTCAGGTCTGAGTCCTGATTCAGACCTGCTTCAGACTGTGTGAAGGCACCCGCCAGCTTTCAAGAAAACCCGTCCACAGTTAGAGATGAAGCTAGCAAATCCCTGGTCGAAAGAGCAACCCACAGCAAGTAAATCCTGAGTCACGAGGCAGGTACAGGACCAACCACAGCAACTTCGCAAAACCCAGGCCGCCCGACTGATTGCGTACGCGCACGTAGAGCCAATGCCAACCCCAAAACCAACCACATAGCAACTCAATCCTTGGTCGCGCCAGCAGGATACAGCCCTCTCATCCCAACTTAGGTTTGCTGGCAAATTACATTCCGCACATTTAGATTCCCAATTGGGTGACAAAACGCGCGTGGAATTGTAGTGCAAATTGCGTGGAATTGGCAACGAATGGAGAAACTAGCTCTCCCAGGTCTGTAACACATCAGATTGGACAGGAGAGCGGCTGGCGGTCCATTGAGATAGTTTTCCCACACGATACAAATTCCACGCAATTTGCACTACAATTCTACGCAGGTTTTGTCACCCAATTGGGAATCTAAAGGTGTGGAATTGAATTTGCCAGCAAACCCAAGTTGGGATGAGAGGGCTGTTTCCTAGTTGCAGCTGGCGCGACCACGGATGTAGTTGCTGCGGGCGGTTAGCTCTACTTATCGGTCGGGCGCGGCCTGGGTTTTACGCACTTGCTGTGGTTGGTCCGCGCTGCGGTTGTTTCTATGCCTCTTTGGGCCGAGCGCGGCCAGGGATCGAAGTCGCCCGCTTTCTCATTCAAATCACGTTCAGACCAGGCTCAGGCCTGTTGCGGATGAAGCCTCCTGATGGAATGGGCGCCACAAAAGGGCTTGAAACAGTTTAAAAAGAAGTTTGGAAAGGCCACCAAAAGGGGGTTGGAAACTGATTGAAAATAGGTTTGAAATACATACCCTCCTGGGAGTCCTAGGGCCCAGGGCTTCCTGCTCAGCACCTTTGATAACGTGCTCCTCCCCTGGAGCGTGAGAGGCGCCCATTTGTGAAATACATCCGAACAACTCCGAACAACCTTTCCCAGCATCACCACCCGGCCGCACGGCCGGCTGACAGCAGCAGCAGGAGGAAGAGGGGGAGAAGGAAAAATTTAAGGGTTTAAACGAAATTAGATGTTTTTACGAAAAAAGAGTCTAAAGTAATTTACTGACCCTCGAAGTTAGAGTCTAATTTATTGTTTTATAAACTTTCTTAACACAGTCCCCGACCGTATACACCCTGGATGTCAAGGACGCCTTTCTACTGATGGAGCAGCCAGCTGGTGAAGGCGCAACGATCGTGACAGAGAACGGTAAGCAACCTTCGACGGACATCTGCGGGGCAACGAAATGCTCCAGCTCAGTTCAAAGGCTTGCGCGCAGTGGCTCGTGAGTATGGCATGGTTCAGGATGTCACGCAGCCCACGATGATGAAGAAGGTCAAGCAGCAGAGTCAGATGTACCTGACTACCCTCTTGGATGATCTCCTGATTGCGGGCGATGAACAGGAGACGGAAAGTTTCATCGAATTCATGGAAGCAAAGACATGGAGAGTTGCAAAGAGAGGTCTGCTGTACACAGGAGCGTTCAACTACTTGAAGAGGAGCAAGGAGTTGACGGACAATGGAGTCACCATTCGAGCTGACCAAGGGCACATCAAGGAGGCCGCCAAAGGACGAGTGTGTATATAAGGAAAGAAATGTCGTTCAACATCTAGAGAACAAGCTGAGCAAAGATGATGAAGCAATGGTCGCCAGCAAAGTCAAAGTCTCGAAGCGCGCTTGGGAAGTTACTGTACGTTGCTCCTGACAGGCCCAACGCGCAGTATGTGGCTCAGGGATTGGCAAGTCCCACGCAGAAGTATAGAACGAAAGGTTGGAGGCCAACGCAGCACGTCAGCTTATAGTAGTTGGGTACCATCCATGAAGGCATCCTGATGGAAACCACCTCCAGAGGACGTGGAGGCGATTTGCGATGCTGACTTTGCAGGCCAGAGAGACACACGTCGATCAGCTAGCTCTGCACAGATCTTCTTGAACGGTCGCTTACCTGAGCTACGCCCGTTGCCAACAATCATTTGCATTGAGCTCGGGAGAGAGTATGTGGCAAATGGTTGGTGGCTGCAGGGAAGGGTTGTTTCATCAAGCACTGCTGGAAATTTTTGAAAGGAGAAGAAGCCGACTTGGCGCGCAGGAGCGATTCTTCAGCTGCACGGGCTCAGGCTGGGAGAATTGGCGTCGGCAGAACGCGACATATAGCAGCTGGACTACTATGGCTCCAACAGAAAGTTAAACAGTTCGAGTTGCTGGAGCGCCGACAGCCATCAACACCAGTGACAAGAACAAAGATCCTGAGCAAGGCTCGCGCGAAGGCCGTCGAATACCTCGTCAAGATGGTGGACGGCGACGACCAGAAGATCGGAAAAGAACAGCTCGAAGAACTGCAAGTTTATGAAGGAAGAGCTGAGAAAGAAGACAGGGAAGTTGCAAAAGCAGTTGGAGGAAGTGTAAAAATTGATTTCGCGTTGGCACTATCGATGCTGCAAGGAGGAAAGGCTGCAAAGATTGAAGAGACGCAACTGCAGACGGTGAGGATTCGCGATGAATTCGGTCACTTTGTTTTATCAGCCGTGAGCTTGGCATGGTGGATCATCATGACGGTGAACAAGTGGCGCAATGGAAGACGAGTCCGCGCAGGAGCCTCAGATGAAAATGAAGAAGAAGTTGAAGCGCAAAGGACAAAAGTTGAAGCTGAAGCGAATGGGGAAAAGACAGAACCAGAAGAGCCGCAGTACGAAGAAGACCAGGAGAAAGTCAGGATGCACTGGCACATCGTTCAGCTTGAAGCAGCTTACGCAGACCAAGCAGAGAAGCTGCCAGAACTGAAGGAAGATCCAAAGGATCAGTGGCACAGACGATGAGAAGGCCTTTGAGCCTGGCCAATTTGAAGAAGATGTGCAACAAGCAAGGCAGGCCGCAGACCTGTGGAAGCAAAGAGTTGAAGATGTGAAAGAAGAAGCAAATGCATAGGTCGTCGAGAAGATGAACAAGGCTCGACACGAGTTCGAGCGGGCGCAATGGGTAGTCACATGTGTGGGGCGTGTCAACATTCAGTCAATTTCGAGCGCAGTCCATGTCACGCAGCTGAGGGTACACGCAGGTTCGATGTATCACACACCGGCTGGGCGCGCAAAAGGTGCGCACTGTTTTTCTTTTCGGTTTTGTCGCCAGCTCCACAGTGAAGACTCTGGCCAACATTTCTTCACGCCTCTTTTTTCTTTTCATGATTGCTAGAAGACCCGACCCTACCCAAAAAGAAACTTAACATGTGTTTGCAGTTTAGGCGTGTTCAGGATGATGGTAACTTGACGGTTGCGCCCAGGACCAATTGTGGAACCCAGAGGTGCAACAACCAGACCTACAAGGTCGAGTGTTGGAGGAGTTCGGCGCTGAGCCCATTGGGGGCAAGCTGCGTCCATCAAATCCAGACTGGACTTCATACAGATTGATCTCAGTCATCTGTTGAGTTTAGTTGAGGCAGGCGTGGAAGATGCAGATGGAGCTTCAAGATGGACACGACTTACAAGGCGAGTATGGATCATGCGGGTTGTAGGATGTTTCAACTGCCGTGACTTTCAATCACGGGTGCAAACTGAGCACGTTCAATCCACAGAAGTTCTAGCAAAAGTCTAAGGCGTTGCCTGGCTTGGACTTTGGTGAACGTTGTAAGCTAGATTAGGCCACGGTAGAACCATGTTGTTGCTGATCGCACTTTTGTTGCGTGGCTGCTTGAACACCTCTAGATGACTGTGGTGGGTGTGACTTGTTGCGTGACGAAGGACAGTGGGGCGATGAGGGGCGTGGTGATTTATGATGTCGCGAAGCGTCGTTTCGTGGGGTGGCATGTTTTCTGGAGCAGCAAAGCGTTCTGCAAGACGTCTATAATCATTGGTGCAACGCTCAGTTTGCCATGTGGGCTGGGGTGCGTTGGTGTTTGGTCCGATGGAGTAGAGTGATGTGATATTTATGGTGGCATGCCTGGTGATTTGTGGCTGTGGCATGCCTGGTGATTTGTGGCTGCGCAAAGTATGCTGTAGTGATGGAATTAACTTGTATCAGCGTGGTGATTCACAGCGTAATGATTCATGTTGCGGTGAAATGCAAAATAGTCGAGGACGAGGGTTAGGCAGAAAAGTTATCCGAAGAACCCCCGTCGCCATAGAGTGCTCTCGGCTCGTCGGTGTCGTGAGAGGTCAGCCTGGAGTAAGCATACAAGGTTCTTGGAGTGAATGGATTACAAACATATCATCGCACCAGTCTGCTGCAGTGCTCTTACCAGACCGACCGCAGGCATTGAGCCTGAAACCAACCACACGCATACAGCTTTTCTGTTACAAACTCAGGGATAGAGCATGGAACTTGCTTCCCACTGGAAAAGGCTGTTTCAAAGATTAGATTTTAGATTTGATAGGGCTATGTCGGAGCCCTCCGATGCCCATTGCTATATAGACATGTTTCCGTTGGATTACTGTGGAGCCCGTTCACACTGACCAAGGAAATTTCTTTCCAAGCAATCTTTTGAAGAATTTGTTGCGGCCAGTTCCGCGCTCCGTGCAGGGCACGTATTTTTGAGACCATCTGGGACGGGAGGAAAAAGGCTGATGGACAGCTGGTTCTTTTCTGGGCGGGGGCTTAAACGTCAGTGAATGTAAGATTGAAGAGCCTTTTAGGCGACCCACAACGAGAGGCAGAGAGAGACTAAGGACGAACAAACAAAGGCAAAACAAAACGACAAATATAGTCGTGATTATATATATATATACATATACTCAACAGACTCTGCATTGAGGCCCCAGCCCCCCAGTAAGCAAATAGGACGGGCAGTTTGGAGTAACCCCCAGTAAGCATATTTCTAATTTTTGTCCATTCCATCTGCTGAATTTCGAGTGGGAGTTCTTCTGCCCAATGGTGTCCTTGGCTCTAGTGATGCGACGCCTAGCGGTTTGTGGCGCGGAATCTTAAGACATGATAAGAGATGTACAGCAATGCCGCGACGGACTGTTTGTTGCAACGCGATGTACTGTAATGCAGCGTCGGGATGTCAGGTTGTTCCGAGGTGAAGCATCATGTTGCTGATGCGACAATTGCTGCCGAACAAGTTTTCTACAACCAGCTTGGCCGAGGTCAACACTTGAAACAAGATAAACCAGCAACCTTACTGAAGAAGCTTGCAAAACGAACAAATTGAAGCAACAAGATCGGCGAGCGCTACCTTGGACGCGTGGAAGGGCTGCGAGCGTCGCCCCGGCGCCAAATTGCAGGCACCGGCGGCTCAAAGAATTACGCTTTGCAAGCTGTGACAGAAGCGCTGGACCGAGCCGAGGCAGGTGGGTTTCATACAAATGTTGGGAAGGGCCTTCTTTGCACGCACTTGTCAAAAATCTTGCCGCGCGTTTGCCGAGACTATAGGCACATCAGGTTGCCACAAGATGGCAAGATGACATTGCTGGAGATGGGGTTATGGGGGGATACTTTTTCGGGCGCACTTTTGGTTTCATTTGTTGCTTGCGTTTGTCGCTTTTCGGCTATTGTTATATTTCGACGCGTTTGTCTCTCTGTTGCTTCGGTTGCTTTGCTTCTCTCGCTGCTTTTCTGCTCTTGTTGCTTTTTGTCGCTGTTTGGGCTACTGCACTTCACTTGTTGCTGTTCGGTCTACTGTGTCACGCACTACTGCGCAACTTGCACACATTCATCTTTCAATATATTTCATATATGTATATGTAATATGCACAGATATTTGCACACATTAGACAGAGAGACTTCAATATGCTTTGCGAATGTGTATGTCATGGTTGTTTTGCGGTGTTGACGAAAAAAGACATTGAAGCACAGCGCTGCTTTGCTTTGCTTGCAAGACACATTAAATTAAAGCCAAAATTTAGGTGACAGCGAGGAAGGAGCCAGCTAGCAGACTTTTTTGTGAGCCACCTTAACGGTAGAATTTAGAGGAGGTAGGAGTGCAAAATTTAGAGGAGGGGCCAGAAGGTAGTAGACCTTTCGCGAGCCATGATGGTCAAATTTAGAGGGAGAAGGCGCCATTCGAATGTAGCAACATGCCTGTGGGCGCAAGTGAGTCGCAATGTGGGCAAGTGATTCACGCGCGCGCAAGTTAACTTTTGCACGCGCAAGTGAGGTTTTGGACACGGCCTCTTCGTAACAACTAAGTGGGCGGGCACGTGAGGTGAGCAGGTGAGTCTTGCGCGCGCAGGAGGTTGCGAGCCAACCCGAACAAACCGCCAAGACAAGCAGCCGCACACAGAAACATCCCAGCGCGCGTCCTTCCGCCAGACCCCTCCAGCGCCACGAAGGCGTTTTTTGATGTTGACCACGCTCCACTGCGAAAGCTGCACTATTTCCTCCAGTGTACATTGCCTGCTACAACACCTGTTTCTCTGAAGTGTCAGCCCTGCTGCCGAAATAGTTTTCTTGAAAACACAGCCACTCGTTCCGCCTTACACCAAGTTGTTGTAAATAGCAGCGAGCTGCGAGCCCCAATGAAATTGACCCAAAATCGAAAATGAATTCAAAGCGCGTTCATTTTTCAAAATATATACCTAACATATACGTATATATATATATATATGTATATGTAGTGCTTCGCCGGCTTAGAATGGAAGTGGCCCGAGCGCCTTAGACACCTTTGGTCTGCCGCCTCCCTCGCCATAGTGCGCGGCGCACGCGTGCGTCCTGGAGCCCTGGACCTTTTTGGCAGGGGTCTGATTGCTGGCATCCTTTTGGCCGTTGGTCGGGTTCCTGGTCGTGGCGTGCTCCTTCGAAGGCGCAGCGCTTGCCCCAGTGAGGGTCTTTCGTCGCCCGGCCTTGGCTCAGGAGTTTGGTCAGGACAGGTGATTCGTTTGATCTTTCTGGGCTTGCCAAGTTTTGAAGGCGTTCGCTTGGCGCTCGCCGCCGGAGTCCTGGACGTGGAGGGATGATAGGTGAGATCGCAGATAGGACACAGCAAAGGTTCAGACCTTTCCCGAGAATTCAATGTACAGCATCGAAGGGTTGAGCTCAGGCGCAGGTCGGGGTATATAACTCGCAGGGCGTTGATGAAGTGGCTCATCGGAGGGCAGTGGAGGGCGCCAGAGCCAGCGGGCTATGTCGGAGCGCAAGGCTTCGTTTTGGGCTCACATTCTTGCGCGACCAATGCCAATAATAAGCTGGATTTGGAAGCCAACGGGGCGGCTCCAATCTTTAGATTCGAGCTTTGAATACGGAAAGAACACGTCAGGCTTTTTCACGTTCCCACGCAAAACACACTAACTCTTGGCAAGGCCAGCGTCGCGGACGCAGCTCTGAACGAGTGGCGCAAGGGCACGCATGGCTTCAGCAGCGTCGGCCTTTGCACTGGGCTTTGTTGCATTGGCGCCGGGCGAATGCTCTCTCACAAGCTGACATGATCTGCAAGGGGATGCGCCCAGAGGCGTGATGAGCGTTGGAGTCATCGTAGTAAAGTAGATGACTTGGTGAATGTTCTTACGCCAGTGAGGAGAAGGTGGGAGCCGTTTTGCCACTGACCCTGCACCTCAGTGGTCGGCGCTTTCCATGACCTTGACGATCACTGTGTGGAGACCGCTCGCTCTCCGTCGCCGACTGTCTCCGGCCCCACCCACCGGGCCAACGAATGAAGACCCCACAGCCTCGTGCACCCCGCCGCCCCAACACAGCGCGTGTAGAAAGCCGGCCGCAGCGCCTCACGAACACCTTTATACCGCTCAGATCAGTGAGGATACCGTTTGAGGATAGAATCCCTGCGCATATACCCACCATGCATGCGTAGGCCAGGCGTTGCCGCTGGCGCTTCCGCTCATCCCTCGCCGCAATGAGTTTAAATGAGTTTTCCACCAGGCCAAGACAAGCCAGCGAAGTCGGAACATGGCGGGCCGCCCGCAGTCCAAACAAAAGTGTGGTTTCTCGAGCCCAACTCGCCGGACAGCACGCTGCTTTCACCGTCCCAAAGTCAAAGTCCAACTTTAACTTCTCAAAAGAGAGATATACAGACAATATCACGCGATTTGATCTTTCTTCTGGGGGTGAGCCAAACAAACTAACGCCCGGTATGTTTTCTTCTTCTGGATCTGGAGCGTTGCTTCGTCCACGGCCGGTGTCGGCATGGAAAGGTGTCCTTCAGTGGCTGTGGGAATGTCCAGGATAGGGTTGGCAAGAGCGCTTCAATTGTTTACAGTATTCTGCGCCGCGCGCAGCGTCAGCACCACCTTGCTGGCAGGAGTTTGAAGGGCGTGACTGGAAGAGCAGCCTGCAAGCAAGCCGTGACAACAGGTAAACGCTTGAAGATTCTTTCAAGCGTTCGAAATTCATGTTTTTTTTTTGGAGTGTTGGCCACGTTTTCGAGCTTGAGAACTTTGTTTTTGTATGTTTTTGTGACAGGGCACCTGCGTCTTACGTGAGCAACGCGCTGATTGAGGACAGGGCCCGGAGCAAGTTCCTGAGAAGCGAGTTCGGTTCGCAGGTTGATGAGACACGCTGACGCAAGGTCTTTGGTGGACACGTGAACAGTTGCGAGGCACACGTGTAGGCAAGCTAGCGCGCTGTCACGCTGCCACGATGCCATGATGTCACGCAGGGCGGACAGGCTCGGACATGTTGTCGGACTGGCGCGCAGACGCGTCGCCACGCTGACCCGCCGGCGTGGGTCACTAAACACGCTGGGGTGCTGACATGATGGCAAGCTCCAGCGTTCCGAAGCAGGTTCCCCGTTTCATAGTTGTCACGCCTCAGACAAGGGAGCTGTTTTTGCGCAAAAGGCACAGCAAGTCTGAAACATGTTGTTGAAGAGTGAGGTTTAGTCTTGACAACAGCGACCAAGGTGACATCAGTGCGCAAGCAGGTGGAGAGCGGAGTTGCCTACAGCTTCTACAGGCCATGGAGCGTGCAGAGACACACACTGTACCCATGGACGTTCAGACGGGCGCAATGGCTGATCTAAAGCTGCTTCAGGGCGCTACAGTGTGAGAAGATGACATCGTATGAACTGCAGCGTGGACGACAGTACAGAGGCAGCGTTTGCGCTTTTGGCAAATCTGTCCTGCGCAAAGCTCACTAAGGAGACTCAGTTTGGTTAAGCAAATCCAGTTGGTCGGATTGTTGTGTTGTTGTGACTCCATCAGGTGCAGTTGAAGTTGGGAGCATCCGACAGAAGAAAGACCCTAGGGAGAAGGATGACTATCTCGCATGACTTCCTGAACAGTTCAACAGTGTCGACGTTCATTTTGCTTGAGGACTACCGTGGGCGTACACAGGAATGGGTGTTTTGGTGAAGCATGGAGGCCATCGAAAGAGGAGAGAGTAGGAGAGAGCCCCTCTAGAGTCAAAGCGATGGGCCTCTCGCATTGAATTGAAGATTCTTGGGTTGCATCACAATGAGGCTCTGGAGCAACTGTGTCGGGAGATGGGCATCTAGCTCAAGTTGGCGTAGAAGATGCTTGAGTGTTGGAAGGGCCTGAGGAGGAGCAGCCTTCAAATTTAAAAGCTGAGTGGGAACGGCCCTGCGCGATCAGAATGTCCAATTCAGTAAAAACCATTCTCACGTATCGCAGCGTCCAAAAGAGGGCGATATTGGCCCCCTTGCCCTCGCCAAACCTGTGGCAGTGTGTGGGGAATAATTTCGAGGAGGCTTGCGGCAGTCGGGAAGAAAAGACTAGAGTCGAAGAATCAGAAGCACGGTTGGTTCCACTGCGCGCGTCTAGTTGTGATACAGTTTGCGCCAAGATTTTCAGCGTGAAATTTTGATGAAGGTGCAGGGCGCGTGGCAGTTGATGATTGCAGACATCAAGACGCCTTTTTGATGTCCAGGCAACCAGAAGGTGAGAGAAACGCCATCAAGTGACAGATACGATCGTCTTGAACGTTGTCTTCCTGGACACGTTTCTGCGTGATTTGTGTTCACGTGGACAACCTACTCCTACCCGGCAGCAAAGAGGGTATGGACAGACAGTTTCATTGAGCACATCGCAAAGAAGGCAGGTTGGAAGATGGAGACAGAAGGTCAACTCAAAGATGATGTTGGAGATGAGTTCATGTATTTGAAGAGGAAATGCAACGTCACAAGAGATGGCATCATTGTGAGACCGGATCCATGACACATTGAGGAACTGGCAGGCGTGTGAGATAGGAAGAACAAAGCCCAAGAGCATTCCACGTTCCACATCAACAGCGTTGCACATGGCTATGATTCGGGCAGTTCAGATTGCGCGCGATTTCGAAGATGTGTTGGCAAGATAAAGGATGATGATGAGTAAGCCGATGAGTTCACAGGTGAAGCGCAATGGAATGAAGAGCATGTCAGTCCTCGACAGAAGGAACATGGATGAGATTGAGCCGCAAGAGAACCACCTGATCGAAGTGATCACAGATGCAGATCTAGATGGACGCAAGAGGACTCGAAAGAGTTTCACATGTTTTCGCATTTTTCTGGACAGTTGCCTTTTTGGAGCAAAGTCAGGGGCCAGAAAGCAATAATAGCGTTGTCCAGTGGAGAAAGACCTCACAAGAATCGCCCCAGGTTTGTGGTCAAGCTCACGATCAAGGGGACACCGAATATCACGGCGCGAAGTGACTCTTCAGCAGCAAGGTCATATATGGATGAGTTCGATGTGGAGACTGGCGAAGGGAATTGAAAGTCCAAACGCAGAAGAAAGTGAACCGATTGATGAAGAGAAGCCGTGATGATGTGAAGATGGCTCTGGTCATGTTGATTGGCGTAATCACGGGCACTGAAGGCAAAAACTTGGGTGAAGAGGGAGCATGGGTGGACCATGCGTGCAATGTTGAGTGTCCTGATCCTGAACACGCTTGTAGCCTTGAGCGTGGCCGCGGGAATGTGGATGATTGCGCAGTAGTGGGCAAAAGATCCACCGGAACAGGACCAAGAAAGATTGTGGGACACAAGAGGTGCAGACTGATGAATCGGACGACCCCCAACATAGTCTATCAGCTGCACCAGAGGACCGGTGAGCTGCATAAGAGAAATGACAGCCCACAAAGACGACTTGACACCAGTTGATGAGCTGAGAGCAGCAAAGGACGGCGATTTGACTTTTGAAAGACAGCAGAATGCCATTTTGACGTCATATGCGCGTGAACATGAGCGCAGATGGGAACAGTCACTAGGAAGGATGGTTGCAGTACTTCCTCGTCCTTGTGGTGATGCATATCACACTACCCCGAAATTTAGATGGTTCCAAGGTGGGAGGGGAGGTCACTGAACCTTTGTACCTACTGCCGCCGGCGCGCCCATGAACAGGAAGGCAGCATGTCAGTATCTAGCACAGTTGTGGAAGATTGAAGTGAGTCCTGTTCGTGCGAGCGTTTCCTGCATGACACTTAACGTATACGCTCCAGGTGCAAGCGTGCAAAACGAGCGCTCACTCCGCGACATTCCTGCTAAACGTTTTCAAGGTTGCAATCCCAATTGTCTAAAGACGACGCCCTTTTTCTCCAAAGCACAGATTGATGTTTCTTGCCGAGGCGACCTTGTATTTTAAAACTCACTACTGGTACTTTGCGGCTCCCTGCATAAATACCAACTGTGACTCCCTTCTCTCACCCATTGCTTGGGCGCTGCTGTTTAGATTCATGCATCTTAACTTCAGTTTGCGTTTGCTAAAAGAGAGACCCTACCGGAAAAAGGAAACGTGTGTTTGCAGTTTAGGACGTGCTCAGTATGATGGTAACTTGATGATTGTGCCCAGGACCAATTGTGGAACCCACAGGTGCAACAACCAGACCTGCAAGGTCGAGCGTTGGAGGAGTTCTGCGCTGAGTCCATCACGCCAAGCTGCGTCCATCAAATCCAGACTGGACTTCATACAGAATGATCTCAGTCATTTGCTGAGTTTAGTTGAGGCGGGCGTGGAAGATGCAGATGCAGTTCCAAGATGGACACGACTTACAAGGCGAGTATGGATCATGCGGGTTGCTATATGGACGTTTCAATTAAAATGACGTTCAGACATGCGTATGTGAAAAATATTTTTAAATGACTGATGTTCTAATTCCTAGCCACCATCAGGACAACACAACACCAACAGAAAACAATTAAGCAAGATTAGGCCACAGTAAAACCATGTTACGCTGATGGTGATTTATGATGTCGCGAAGCGTCGTGTAGTGGGACGGCGTGTTTGTTGAAGTGGCAAAGCGTTAAGCAAAATGTCTGTAATCAGTGGTGTTTGCCATGTGAGATGGGATGTGTTGGTGTTTGGTCCGATGGAGTAGTGATGTGACTTTTTATGGTGGCATGCCTGGTGATTTGTGGCTGCGCAAAAATATGCTGTAGCGATGTAATTATTTTGTATCAGCGTGGTGATTCATGGTGTAGTGATTCGTGCTGTTGTGAAACGCAAATATACTAGTGATGCGACGCCTAGTGGTTTGTGGCTTGCAACCTTAAGAGATGATAAGAGATGTACAACAATGTCGTGACCGACTGTTTGTTGCAATGCGATGTACTGTAATGAAATGCAGCGCTGTGATGTCAGGTTGTTCGCGAGGTGAAGCGTCATGTTGGTGATGTGACAATTGCGCCCGAACAAGTTTTCTACAACCAGTTCGGCCCAGGTCAACAATTGAAACAAGATAGACAAGCAACCTTACTGAAGAAACTTGCAAAACAAACAAATTGAAGCAACAAGATCGGCGAGCGCTACCTTGGACGCGTGGAAAGGCTGCGAACGTCGCCCCGGCGCCAAATTGCAGGCACCGGCGGCTCAAAGAATTATGCTTTGCAAGCTGTGACAGAAGCCCTGGACCGAGCCGAGGCAGGTGGATTTCATACAATTGTTGGGAAGGGCCTTCTTTGCACGCACTTGTCAAAAATCTTGCCGCATGTTTGCCGAGACTAGGCCACATCGGGTTGCCACAAGATGGCAAGATGACATTGCTGGAGATGGGTTATGGGGGGAGACAACGCAACATCTATTTAAATACACGCATCCTTTGGCTGGAGCCTACATTCAAGCCCCTCAAGACTACACCCATACTTGTACATTTGCGGCGTAGTGCAAAAAACACTGTAAAATACGTGCTAGAGTAGAACCTTGGAAGTGTTTTTACGCATTACGCGTGCTCTAATATGTTTGTTCTCGAAATTGCGCTTGTCTATGTCTACTGTTCTCAGCGTACGCTGCAGACAGCAAGATCTACCAACGTGAAGTTTTTTCTACCCACTACGGCCCAACAGCGCATGGGCATGGAGAAGCTGTGATGCTCATGACTCATGACACAAATTGCATACCCACCGCTTACGTTTGGTCGACCCAACAGTCTTTTGAATCTAGCTGCCAATTTGTTTGATGCCACTGTCACAGCTACAGCCATCCGCGCTACAGCCAAAATTTGGCTTCCATAGCCACAAAGCCTGGTTTTCAAACACGAATGTTTCCAAATTCAAGTATGACAGCGCATATGAGAGAGATTCGCCAAATGCTTCTAGAGAGTGGGTGTGCCTGGGAGAGGGCGCCCTATCCCAAAACCCTTTTTAGAAGAGCAAACGCTTCGCAAAATTCAATAACTGCTTTGCGACCTAGGCGAAATGCTACGCGCGTTGTAATTTGTTGCCTTGCATCAGGGCCTAGACATGTGCGTTTATGTTGTTTTCGCTGTTTGTCAAAGCTGGATTTGAATCTTGAAGAGGTTTCAGTCTCTCATCACCATGTACTTGTTTTGAGTGACTGATGTCAGATACGTAGACTTGAGTTTCAACAGAAGGCCTTGTTTATGAACAATTGCTGTATTTGTAAACCACGTCTTTGCACATTAAAGACAACCACCACATGCTTTCCACACTAATACTAGTCCCAATATATACATATACATAGTTATACATATGTATATGATCCCGTATGATCCACAACCAAGCAAAGATTGGTGCCAACCTGGAAAGCATCGTTTTTTGTTTCAGGAATTTCTTGTTTTTGAGATCATTGTTTCTGCAGAATGCAACCCATGATTGCATGTGGAATGCAGACTAGGGCAAGTTGCGCAGGGGCCCTAATGATCGAGCACCTATCTATAATGGTTATCTATCTATTTATATTATATATATATGATGTATATATTCTCTATATGTTTATATCCATATACCGATGTTTAACTTAAGCAGAGAGCGAAACCAACTAATACCTGTTCACGGTATCACCGCGTATCATTTTTCTTCCTGTCCCCAGCTGCTGTCAGCACGGAAGGTGTCCTTCAGCGGCTTTGGGAACGTTCAGGAGAGCATTGAAAAGAAGGTTTAATTTCAGCTTCTCATGAGATTCCTGCGAAGTGGCGAAACAATGTGAGCAGCAAATTCACGGAGGTCTGGGGATGTTTCCGCACAAGAAAGTGCAGATCGCAGGACTTTGAAGTGCACGACCCCAAAAGCGGCCTGCAAGCAAGCCGTGACAGGACCCCGAAACGCATTTTTTTACAAGGGTGTTCAAGAGTTTTTACAATCACTTCAGCGGAGCACAAGGGGATGAAGTGAGAGAAAGACGCAATTCTTTCGCAGATTGACAAGTTTGTTTTTGTGTCAGGGTGCCTGCACCTCACATGGGGAACGCACTGATTGAGGACAGCGTTGCTCCACAGTCAAAGAATGAAACAAGTATACTGCGACTACACATTTTCCTTCTGTGCAAAATAAAGGTCGGAAACGGCTCAACTCTTGGGATTCACACTTTTTTGTTGATCATGGGGTATGCCCATTTCCTTGCTCAAATAGTTTTTGCTTATCAAATATGTATTCACGTTCATGAGACTTTGCTGGACCTTGCACCACTCGACATAAATTAAATTTGCTGCTTTGGTTACGACAATTTCGGCTCACCTCAGGAGACCTTGGCAGGTTTCGCTAAGTCGACCCGGGTTTTGCCCACCGATGATGTAGAGGCAAAGATGTTGTCTTGATATCAAGTTCTCGGTTTTGCAGCTGTGGCAGACTGCAGGTCTTTACATCGACATGTTGGGGCAACTTGAAAGGGGCAATGTGCCACGTCAAATCAAATGACCCCGTCTCCCCTCAACAGTGGTCCCGCATCAGTTACCAAAGCAAGCCTTATGCGCGATGTTTGGCGTTTACCTTATTTCGATTCAGGACCTTATAACTTATAACTTATAACCTGAAGTCACCAGCCAGAGAAGTGGCCGGCCCCATTGTGGCAAAAATCCGTCAGCCTGCTTGCTTTTTGGGCTCCTGTTGAAAGCCAAGTATCGTTGATGGCTTGCGGAAGGCCATTCCTGGTTGCATGGATGCAAGGTCCAGTAGAGACCACATGGCGATTACGTTGGTGAAGGACTGAACGGGTTGGGAATTGTATTGGTGACTCAGCCAATCATCACTATACAAATTTATATATATATATAGAAAAAATTTCACCGGCAAAGATCCCAGATAGCAACTAACTCTAAAAACAGAAGCGCCTGAGACAAACAAATCAAGCCCAGGCTTCACGGGCGCCATGCGCAAGCGTTGCCACATATCAAGAACAAAGCATACCAGAGTTTTCGAGACACAACCACCAGCACCAGTACCCAGCACCGACACCCGATTTTCAAAGTGCACAGCCAGCTCACAGTAACAGGGCAAAGCAGCATCAGCACTGACACCCTGTCTCAAGAGGGATCACAGCACCAACACCCTGCTCCACAGCCAGCTGACAGCGACAACGCAAAAAAAGTATGTGCGCAAGCAGTACAGCCCTTGACACAGCTGTCGGCCAAAACAGAACCTGAAGAGTGTAAAACCCTACAGCACTAATACACAAGAACACTCAAGCGACAACACCGTATGATGTTGCGTGCATAAGTTCATGCGGCCCATGACTACTGGCACTTCACTGTCAGAAGCGGCAGTTGGTCGCCCTTCACTGCTACAAGCGGCGGTTTGTCGCCCTTCACTGTCAGAAGCGGCGGTTGTTATCACATCACTGTCAGAAGCACGCACCAGCACCGAGCACCGGCGCGCACCGCACCGGCGCCCGCTGTCTCCACCACGCGCACTGCCAGCACCCAGCGCCGCCGCCCTTCCACCATGCGCGCGGCCAGCGCCCAGCACCGGCGCCAGCGCCCTGTCTCCACCACGCGCACAGACCACGCGCAGAGCACTCACACCCCAGCACGGGCACCCTGTCACCACCACGCGCCCAGCACCGGCGCCGGTGCGCTTTGCCAGCTGACAACACCGGCAGCGGCGCCAGCACCCGACCAGCGCCGCCGCCCGTCTTAAACGCGCGCTCAGCCAGCGCCCAGGACCACAACACCAGCACCAGCACCGACACTCATTCGAAAGCGCGCGCAGCCAGCTCATTCTTATTTGCCGTAAGAACCCCATAGCTACCCCTACTCGGGTAATAACAACGTATGATCTTGCGCGTTTGAGTTTATGCGCACAAAGGTATGTGCGCAAACAACAACGCCAGTAAGTGTCATTGGCCGAAGGCCAAGCAGTATCCAGCGCCACTATTGACTTTGTAGCGTGCTTGAAGAAACGACCTCTAGGACGATAAGGCCGTATGCGCACAAACGGCAAAGCCCGTAGGCTTCATTCGCCCAAGGCCAAGCAGTATCCAGCACGACTATTGTGCGCGTGTGTGTGGCACGCTGAAACAATAGTCGGTTGAGAGCCTGACGTTGCACATAGAACATTATACATACAAAAGTATGCGCTACAAGCGGCGGTTTGTCGCCTTTCAGTATCAGAAGCGGTGGTTGGTGGTATCACTTCACTGTCAGAAGCGGGCACCAGCACCGAGCGCGGCACCCAGCGCCCGTCTCCACCACGCACACGCGCGCAACCAGCTCACAGCACCCTGTCTCCACCACATGCACAGCCCACAGCCAGCTCAACACCAGCGCCAGCGCCGACACCCTGTCTCCACCACGTGCACAGCCCACAGCCAGCTCAACACCAGCGCCGGCGCCCGGCACCCTGTCTCCACCACGTGCGCAGCCAGCTCACAGCACCAGCACCGGCGCCCAGCACTGGCACCCTGTCCCCACCACGCGCACAGCCAGCTCCAGCACCAGCGCCGGCAACCTGTCTCGAAAACGCGCACAGGCAGCTCATTGTTGTTTGAAGTAAGAACCCCATAGACAGTTTCTGAAAAATCCGGATGTCGAATTGCACTTTGAGAATTGAAGAAACAGGAAGCAAGAAAGTGGTCGATCTCATGTGCTGCTGCGTTTCAAGTACCTGCTGCTATGTCCGCAATCTAAATAGCAGAGCAAGAGCGAGATCACTGCTACAAATGCATTGCATTGCTGAAATTTGTCCAATGTCTAGAGTCGCTGCTATGGCGCGTGTTGGAGGAAGGCGTTGCGCCCCCGCACGCTTAAGAATATGGTGTCAGCTTCAACACTGCCCTGCAACCTGGTTCTTTACAGCGCAACAAGAACAGCCCAACCTATATAATAGTGTGTTGATGATAACAGCGCTAAGTCTGTTGGGCCTTTTTGGTACCTCCTCCATGTGGGTTTGCTTCAAAATATTGCATACGTGTTCACGCATTTGTTTTTTGCCGTTGGAGCTGCGGAGTCAGACTCGCGTGTAAGGAGGAACCAAAATTAGTTTGTCATAAAATTAGGGGGGCCCTGACCACCAAGAAGTTTTCACTTGGAAATTTTCTGGTCCGTCGTTCTTTGCAGGGTGTGTGGTGGAGCTGCTCTCATGACATCTGATGTTGACCATCCCCACCCCTTGCCTGAGGAGGATGAACGCATGGGCGAGAATCGGAGCATGCAGTTTAGGGCCGGTGGGTGACTGGTCATTGGCTTTAGAGAACATCGAACCAAGATTTTGAAATTCTTTGAGGCTGAATCATTGGATTTTGATGATTTGCTGATTTAGTGAAACACCCTCCCAACCCAGGAAATGAAAGAAAACATGTTTGTGTCATCGGCAAAGATAGGACAGAGTCTATAGCAGCCGCTTTTGTAGTGGATGTATTGGTGCCTTCAGCCGTTTGATCTGCGTCAGGCTCCTTCTAACCTTGGCCGAAATGGGTGGGCCACCCAGCCATGTTCATGCGAATGCGCAGCGTTTGTTCGAAGATTTCCAAAGTATTTCTTTAACACCTATGAGACTCATCAGAATGAAATATGTGAAGCATGTCACAGTGTCATATTCCATCAGTTTCAGGAGGGATGATACCAAAATGCCTTAATAGCACGAGATTTGGATGCAGTGGTATATCTAGGCTCTAGACATCACAATAGAACACAGCGCAGAAGTTTTGCATGCGTGCAAGCTGCAGGACCATCAGTTTTCAGCCTGCAAGCCTCATCGAGTTTGACAACATCTCTCCGGTGTCAGATGAGGCGCGGCCTGAGCCACAATGCAACACAAGAGCTTGAGATTCTGCGTTTCTCGACAGTGCCCACTTATCATTCCAAAGTTTTGTGGCTGAATGTGGCTGATTTACAGAAGAAGTTTTAGGTCAGAACAGTGTGCTGTGTAGGTAACAAAGACGTGTGTAACTAGGGTGGCATGTGGGTGGGTGTTCATAGGTGTCCCTCTCCATTTTGGCTCAAGAGGAACACCCACCTTACTTTGAACGCCGAACACGTTCATTGTGGGCGGGGTGGGTGGATGTTGGCACCCATCACTGCCAATCAGTGGTGGGTGCAGTGGGAGCGAGGCCAAGCCATAGCCACATGTTCGACGTGCTGGTAGCATTGCTGGCGGCGGTGCTCTCGTTGTTGCGCCTTTGCTGCACAGGCTGTACCAGGGACAAGATTGACAAAGGCTTGTTGCCCCTGGCAGTGGGTTCCGTGGCGTCCGAAGAGGAGCGTAAGAAGCTTGTCGATATGAAAGAGGCGTTTGAGTTCTCTGGCCTAGAAGAGACTGCAATGACAGACGACAAGACTCAGGATCCCTTGCTGCACTGTCGGGTGTAAAGCCCGAGACAAAGTCGAGCTGAGCGTCGTTGAAGAGGTAGACTATGACAGACAACCTCTTGAAGCATGGAAGATTCCAGGTCCGCCAGCAAGGCTACCTGCAGAGGTGGGTTCAGCCAAGCTGGCGGGGAGAGTTTGTCGTGTGGTCGGTAGACAAGGACAGAGCATTGAAGAGTTTCGAACTCAGCTAAAAGCGGTTTATCTATTTTTCCAAGTTCAACCCCTGCCATCGACGGCTGCAACCAGGAAGATAAAACTTAGTGCAGTCTTGTCCCAGATCGACCAGACAGAAGTGTTATCTTGAAGGCCTTCGCTCGGTACGAGGCTGAACTGTTGCAAACCTTCAAGAAACCTGTCAGTTTCTCAGACCCTGCTCCAAATCTGCACTGCACAAACGTGTATCTGAACACTTCTGGTTTTGCAGCTAGCGTCGCAAACTCATCCAACTTGAACATGGATGTTTTCTCCTCTCTCTCACGGGGCTGCTCTAGTATCCACGGTTTGCCTTCCTCCGTGGCATACGCCAATACATTGTGCCTTCTTTTGCTCTCTTCTTGTCTTTGACGCTGAGGTTCTTCAGGCCGTATCTTGAATGCGCTGCAAGGCGGAGGTCATGTAGGAATGCAGGACCCATATTTTGACAAATTCTCAAACCATTCCTCCCAGGTCGACTGATCCAAGAGGTCGTGCAATCCATTGATTTCTCTGTCCACGCAGACGCAACTCAGGCCCAGCTGCTTGAGGAACACTTCCAAGCCATCATCTGGTCTGGGCGGTCCACTAAAAAGATACCAAGCATGGCCCGCAACAACTCTGTCTATAGTTGGGGACAGTTCTGATTCGCTTCAGCTTCGGCTCCACAATTAGGTGTCTCTCATGCGTTGATCTTTCAGGCGAGTTTCAGTGAGGCGGTTTCTTGCCGCCCTTTCCTTTGCCTCCCCCTTTCTTTCCTTTGCCCTTTGCCTTTAAAACGGTGGTTCTGGCATCTCCGAATGCGAGCACTTTGTCGCTGAGTGAGCCCCCAAGCATTTGTCGCACTGATGCACTGTATCCCAACAGTGAGCTCCCTGTACGATTATAGGCTTCCTTGGGGCTTTGACCTTGGCCGATCTGGGTTGGTGTCGGCTATTAAAATCCGACACTGGCTAAATAGGATTTTTGTGCGTGTTGCCAGTTCTGGTCTTTTCCAGAACTGGGCGTGCTTTCACTTTGGAAGTGCAGAGACCCAAGAGGCTTTGTGGCTGTCGGCGAGCACGTGCAGATGCGCGCAGCCAGCGGATCAAACTCCTTCCACGATCTCATTGCTGTTGGCGATCTTGGTGAGGATGAGGAAACGTGGATCGTTGACACCTTCTCTCCAAAAGTCATGATCTTCACAGGGCTTTCCCCCGCGCATAGTTCCAAGGTCGACTTGGATCATATCCTGATGGCGGGGCAGTCCCGGCAGCTACTCAATACGCTTCAACCTTACCATGTGTTCCAACCTGCAGCGAACGTCTCCTTGATAGATGACAGCCCAAACTTTGTCAGAAAACTCTGTCTTGATATCCCTCTATCAAAGCCTTGTATTGCAGTAGGTTTCCAAGATCCACAGCGTCCAACATCACTAAGACATTTTGCAGAACCGTGTAGGAGTATACCCAAAGCAAAATGTTTCTCGGGCCATGAAACTCATGCGGCTTCAACGACCCATCCCGGGTCAATACAATACCGACCAGTTTGACCTTCTTGAGCGTGCGCGTGCTATCAGAATCCGCAGGGGCCAAGGCCGTGTTCTCTTCAAAGGTAGGAGAGAGGGCCCCGCGTTCGCGCCGCCGACCCACGGGTTCCACCTGGTATAGACCTACGCCCCTGCGTTTTATAGCATTTTCTGCGCGCGGTGTTCAAAAACATTGCGCTTTGGATGGTTTTGGGCCCCTCGCCCGCCCAGGAGTTCATCTTGGCGATGTTAAAAAAACTGCAGTCTTTACATGGCTTGATGGGGTCCGCGATGGAAAAAGTCGCATCTTCAGAGTCTGTCGGCATGAATGGCGAAAAATACCCCCAACGAAAACATGCAAGATCGGCCAACATAGCCCCAAGATGGACCAACATAGGCCAAAGAGGGGTTCAACATAGGTCCTAGGCTCAACATGGGCCCAAGATGGCCCAAGGCGAGCCAACATAAGCCCTATAGATGGCACAACATAGGCCCAAATGGGCTCAATCAACATCGCCCCAAGACCGCCCACATAGCCCAAAGATGGGTTGGACCGCAACAACAACAAACAACAACAACAACAACAACAACACCAGCAGCAGCAGCAGCAACAGCAACAGCAACAAGAACAAGAACAAGAACAACAACAACAACAACAAAAAACGAAGAACGGCGACAACAAGCACAACAAGAACAACTACAACAACCATTTCTTGGGTCATCCCCTTTCCCCTGCATACCTTCAACATTGGCCCAACACGGGCGCAACGTAGCCTGAAGAGGGGCCAACATAGCCCGAAGCTGTGCCAACATAGGCCCTAGAGTCCAAGATAGGCCAACATAGGCCCAAGCCCAGACGGCGCAACATCGACCCAACAGGGGCTCAACAGCTCCAAGACCTCCCCACATAGCTCAGGATGGTTCGACCTGGCCCCAAGACCACAACCACGACCAGAACCCCTGCAACAACAAGAACCACAACAACAACAACAACAACAACCACAACAACAACAACAACAACAACACAGCCCCAAGACGGGCCAACATAGGCCCAAGACGGGTTCAACATGTCCAAGGTAGGCCAACATGGACCCAAGATAGGCTCAACGTGGGCCCAAGCTGGCCCAACATAGGCCCGAGCTGGGCCAACATGGGCCCAAGGTGGGCCAACATAGGCCCTAGATGGCACTACATAGATCCAAAATGGGCTCAACATCGTCCCAAGACTGCCCCGCATAGCCCAAAGATGGGTTCGACCTGGCCCCAAGACCACAACCACGACCAGAACCACCGCAACAACAACAACAACAGCAATCCCTCCTGACCAGAGGTGCTGCAGCATACCCTGCAGAACTCAACAAGGTAGTCGCTGGATCCTTGCACCACGCACTCAAAGTCAAAGACATTGCAGTCGTGAAGAAGGGCTGGAAGAAGACTCAGGAAGCTGAGTGTCACACTTGATCCCAAGCCCCGCCAAACACTCAGGTTGACTGCAGGCGGAGCTGAACGGGGTCGGAAATGTGTTCAGCTGGATTACTAACAGAATGAAGTACATTGGTGTTCAAGCAAGGGGCAGCATTGAACAAGAGCTGGAACAGGACACACAGGCGAAGGAAGAGTTGTGGCGCAGCGTTACAGAACACAAGGAACAACAACAGGTGACACTACCCAGGAACTCGGATGGAAAGGTAGCACCCGAGTTGAGTTGAGGAGATGGATACAGTGCAAACTCAACAGTGATCAGAGCACGTCTTCTGGAAGCATGGGCAACAGCTGTGGGAGACCCTGGATCAAAGGTTGCAAGGTGTTTGTATGAAGGTGCACCAGCAGGACTCAGCTTAGGATCAGAATGCCTGGACGGAGTTTTTCCCATCCTTGAGGACCAGGACACTGAGACAGAGTGGAATGAGCTGAGCACAAACTTCGAAGAGTTTGAAAGCTACGCTGGTGTGGAGGAGGATGAAGGAGCATTTGAAACGCTTCAAAAATACAGGCAGAAATGATACCTCCTCAGGTTTGACTCCTTGAAGGACTTGAGAGACCACCTTGGTGAGGATCCGGTGTTGTCTCAGATACAATGTCGATACATACATGCACAAGTCCAGAATCATCTCAGACTGCAAAAGGAGTGGTGTATCGGCCGCTGCGACAAGAACTCACAAAAGCGCGCTGCCAAGAGTCACAGATGCAGCGCAGTCGGCGTTGGAGCTGATGGACCTCAAGGCACCGGACCAAGACATCGTGTTGTTCATTGCAGACATTGTTGATGCATTCTGGCTGATACCATTTCACATGAGCGAACGCCGGTACTTCTGCGCGCAGCTGAGACGCAAGTGGTGCACACACACACACACACACGCACACACACACCAGAACTGCGCAGGGCTCCGGCTCCAGAATGGCGCCTCTGACCTTTGCAGCAGTCACGGCCTTAGCGTCGCGGTGGGTTCAGAGTTTGGGGACAGATTTTCGTCTACAAACGTACGTTGATGAAGCAGTGGTAGCGCTGAAGTCAACGCCAGACAGAATAAAGAGGGTAGCGACAGTCATCGCCACACACGGCAACATTGGCAACAAAGTTGACGTGGATTGATTGGAGCGCAGTTGGCCATGGCGAACAATCAGTTACCGCAGAAGTGACAACTGAGAAGGTTGTGGAGTTGACGGACTTGCTGCAAGACATGCTCAGCAACGACTTGGTCACCAAGAAGGTCCTGAGAACCGTCGTTGGGAAAGCTACGTCGATGGCATCGGTGATGTATGTGTGGAGACCTTTCATACAGCAGCTTTATACAGCATGCGTGTCATTGGTTGCTGACATTCTTGAGGGGCGAGAGCGCGAGAATCGCCTGTGAAATCACACTGGCAAGTTACAGAAAGGGTCCCATGGGTGGGATGCAAGCCCATATGGAATGGGTGCAACTAAGGCAAATTTGTTGAGTTCTTTGCAATACGGGTTTCACAACTGGATCAGGACGTGCTGGAAACACCAGCTGGTGACTGCAGAGGACCACAAGTGTCGGAAGCACTTGCAGGCTTGATTGCTTTACGACAATTGCAGCAGTATTGGCGACGTCAGCAAGAAAGAGCTGCCTTGTTTGAGGCAGGTGGCTACAAATTGTTCAAGAACCACATGCCCAGGGCGAAAGAACATCATTTGTCGCTGGGCAGCCCATGGAGCGACAAAGTTGACCTGGTGGCACGGACATGCACTTGGTCTGTCCTGAGCTGGGCGAACGAGGTCTGAGCCATTTGATGCTGGAAAGAGTCGCGGGTGCTTGGACTAGGTCTGATGGCCCGTTTCATGAAAAAGGACCGGTTCATGTCAGGGCTCTGATTTGTTGTGCTACGATGTATCTACTGAGGGAGGTATAGGCTTCTGCAGTGGACGTTGGCGATGTTACGCTGTCGGGAGACAAGGTCACTCTGAACTTGCCGGTCTCGGAGGTGGAATGGAAAGCCTTAAAAGGGTGCTCCCGCTCGCGATCATGTGTTTGTGACACAGCGTTGCTGCGCCCCCTTCATGAGTTGCGCGCACACATGGAGTTGAATTTGAAATAGTTCTTTGAAAGGAAGAAGATCACTTGGTACGCGGATCTCCCCCTATTCCCAGATCAGGAAGGTGATTACTGCACCAAAGCAGGCTTGGCGGCGTCAGAACGCAGGCGTGGCAGCCACAGCAAAGGGTGGTTCACGCATGGCGAGTGGACACTCATTCAGAATCACGGGCGCTGGTTCCTTGGCGAAGCACACCTTAGATCCGATCACAATACAATTGATTGGGCGTTGGGGGTCTGTCGCTGTGTTGTCCTATATCGCTGACAGTCCTCTATAAGTTTCGCAGACAGGCTGAAGAGAGATGGCTTGAGTAGCTTGAGAGCAAGCGATCCAAACCTTTGGAGAAAGCCCTTGGCAGGACTTGGGTGCGAGGGCGCACTTTGAGTCCATCGTCAAGGAGCTTGAGGACAATCGGAAGGAGATTCGAGAATTGAAGAGAGTCATGAAGCAACTGACCAATGAAATGGCAGATGTGAATGATCAAATGGAAGGCGTGCCGGTTGTGCTTGATTCACAGACGACTAAGGAGACATGGACTGTCGACAAAGAGCTAGACTAGCGCAATGGAAAACATTGCGGGTTGCCATTTGCACAGAAGGTCTGCGCTGGAACAACTAGGCCGACAGAAACGGCTCCTGAAGACAATTTCAAGAGACGCCCGAAGTACCTGACTCTGACTCCTCCACCGAATCTTTTTCCTCATAGGAGATCAAGCGCAGGTTGACGGGCTGTTGCCAATCTCCAAGATTTAGAGCAGCACCAACCCTACGTTGGAAAACCGTCAGGGTGGGGGGAGGGTCTCCTTCTTTGTGAAAGACGTTGTTGGTCGGAACAGTGTGCTGCGTAGGTAACAAAGACGTGTGTAACTAGGGTGGCGTGTGGGTGGGTGTCCATAGGTGTCCCTCTCCATTTTGGCTCAAGAGGGACACCCACCCTAAAATTGAACACCCAACCACCCTGGTTAACACCCACAGTTCAAATCAGGTTGGCGGGTTTTTGCCAATCTCCTTTGCTACCCATGAAGATATCACGGGGAAGAAGATCCAGGAGATTGAACCTAGATTTACAGCAGCAACCCTAGGTTGGAAAACCGTCAGTGCGCAGCAGGGTGGAGGAAGGGTCTCCTTCTTGTGAAAGACGTTGTTATGGGTCACAAGGTGATGACAGACAGGAATTGAACGCAAGCGGACAACTGATTCGTAGAAGTGGCGCGCCGGTTTTGCTGTGTTTCCGTCCTCAAGTTTCTTTTGCCCACCCGTCCATAGGCCCAGCGGCAAGGAGAGGAGCGCATGGTTCGTGGTAGCACGGATGCAAATGCGCCTGGGCAACCAGGGTGCTTCAAGACGCTCCTTTTGATCATACTGGGGTGCATCAAGCGGTAAAATTTTCGACCATGGGACCACGGTACTTGGGTGACAAGAGTAGTTGTCATATTTGGAACATCGACCACTTCCTTCCAGGTGCCCTCGGCGTTCGAACCCTCCCTGCAAGCGGACCTCGCGCATCACATCGCCTTTCGGACAGAAGGTGGCCATACTGGCGCAGCTGATGTCGGCATGAATTTGGGTAGAATAGTTTGGCCCGCAATGAATCCATGCGGTGTCACCAAACATGACAGGGTGCACTGATTTTGGTGTGTGAGGATGTGTCAGGATTCGCTTGGTCATACCTCGCTGTTATTAACGGTTCCCATGCCTTGGTCAAGTGATGAAGCGTCCACAAGTTTCTAATGAATGAATTAGCGCTAGAACCGCCAATCATTTGGTTGATCATTGAAAGGATCATGGACCAAGGCTTGTTGTTGCGCTTGGCCAAACCGAACGGATGCAAGAATCCGAGGTAGAAGACGCAGTGAAAGACAACGAGTTGCTCCGCAACACCTTGCGCGCCCTGACCATCAAGCTTTGAATATTTTCAGCTGAAGCATCAGCAAAGAAAGGTCTTTATTGAGTTGAAATAAACTCACAGAAAATTGAATCAAGAGACCTCCAGCGCAATGCAGATCATGAAACCATTGGACCATTGGATACCTACAGAATGGAAATGAGACGAATACACTACTGGTGCATCTCCGAAGTCAACCGTCAACTTGGGTCCCCAACTGCGACTGGACAGCATCCGCACAGGAGCTCCATTTCAGCTGAAAGTTGGTCGGGTCAGTGTGGAAGTGAGGTGAAGAATTGCCTTGAGTGGTAACTTGAGTCAAGCTTGTGAGGCAACCTGGCTCTACACGGGCTTATTGAGGCCGGAAAGATGATTAACTGGGTGGAAGGGAGGTGGCCTGGTAGCCATAGAAAGATATGAGCAATACCGCGCAAAACTATGAATATTGTTTCATATTTATTGTTGTCTCCCCTAGATCTACCTGCTCGCATGTTGTACGTAGGTGTTCAAACCTATTACAGGCAAAGGCCTTTATGTACTGCACCGCTACATTGACAGGTACTTTCTTTTGTGATTGATCCAGATTACATTGCAAATGTGAACATATAACATCAACAAAACATAATGGAAAGAAAGAATATGTTTCTGCAAATGTCCTTCTACGTCAGTACCAGAGTTGCTTTTGCAGTGTAGATACACCATAAACAGATAAGAATAGTACTAGTATCTATATATTTGTGTGTTGTTCGTCTACAAAACTAAATACTAGGTATACGGTTTAGATATTATTCACGTCCTTGAGTATGAATTGACAGCTGAACAGTTTGAACTTCATCGTATCAATAAACATGTTGACTCGTCCATTCTCAACTAACTGGAGATGCAAACTTTAACACCTGTACAAAATACAGTTGACTTAACATATCAAACGATTCAGAAGGCATTTGGAACGCTAGAACAACTTTAGATGTACTATTGAATTACTTGTGCGTATTAGGAATACAAAAGCATGTTTGAGAGGTATAAAGGGCGATACTGCTGAAAATGCTACATTACAATTTTCTGAGCTCATATACAAAGCTATTACAAATCTCACAGACTCCTTAGAGCTGCTAATTGTCTAGCAAAGGACAAGGTATTACATATCTTCCAGGGTGCATATTTTGCTTGTGATGTGCTGTTTGTACTATGTCAAGCACATGGAACTTGGAAACTTCCATAATAGCTCTTATGACATTAGCCAGCATAGTTGTTGTAGCTTCTTTCACCCATGCATCCAGCAAACCTCCATATCAGGTTAATCACTTGATGCAGATAATTTGATGCCCCATAACCAGCTACTACATGTTGTTTCACTGTAATATATATATATATATGTGCGTGTATCCTCGTGACAGGTTCCATGTGTTGGGTTGATAACGAAGATGATTGGATTTGCAGCCATTTACGTGACCATAATAGGTGTCACCAGACCCCCTACAGATACGGTAACCCCATGAAGACATCAGCACCAATCGTAGCTTCTCCAAGAAACAGATCTATGATTAGGAAGTGCATTCAAGCACAGAAAATACTGTACATTGTACATCATATTGCTGGCAAATTCAATCATGCCAAAGCGCCAACTCCTTCACCACTGATAACTATATAAATAGACTTCATAAAGGTTTTGCTTTGAATCTCTAAGGCATTCATTTACACATGCTCCAACATTGGCCCCTGCATCAATGAAATTGACCACATTACTAATATTACTAGCCGACCTGTCAGGCTTCAAATTCGTTGAAGTACAGTTCGACCTACTTGTCCTTCTTTACTGTACTTCTTTGGTTTTTTTGTTTCTCTCCCTCTCTCTCAGAGAAGCGGCCAAAACAACCATGTGGGAAGAGGTCTCACAAGCGCCCAATCACTGTAAATTACAATGAAGATCAATGGAGTATTGATGAACATTTATGAACAGTTATGTTATGTTTCATGTATTGTTCGTTTCTTTTGCTTTGGTGAGTCTGGTGGTGGGCCTCCCTGTTCCCCGAAGGCTTCAACGGGTTTCACGCCAGGCCCAATATGGTATTCATGCGTTTCCAGGTTCCCGCTTGCCTGCTGTAGCTTGCTTTCGTTCTACACTCCTTGGGCCTCCAGTTCCCAGGACGCACTTCCGCAGATGCCACTCCCTGATTGCGAGCAGATGGTGCAGGAGCACCGCAACAAATGCAGATTATTTGTGTGACATTTTTTCCCCAGATAGCGTGAGCTATTGGGGTTCTTACTTCAAGTATAGGAAGAGATGCATGTGTGCGTTTTCGAGCCTGGGTGCTGTATACGGTGCCGTTGCTGTGTGCGCGTGGGAGCTTGGGCGCTGGTGCCGCTGCTGTGTGCTGCTGCTGTGTGCGCGTGGGAGCTTGGGCGCTGGTGCCGCTGCTGTGTGCTGCTGCTGTGCGCGCGTGGGAGCTTGGGCGCTGGTGCCGCTGCTGTGCGCGCGTGGGAGCTTGGGCGCTGGTGCCGCTGCTGTGTGCGGGTGGGAGCTTGGGCGCTGGTGCCGCTGCTGTATGCTGCTGCTGTGTGCGCGTGAGAGCTTGGGCGCTAGTGCCGCTGCTGTGTGCATGTGGGGGCTTGGGCGCTAGTGCCGCTGCTGCGCGCGACTGTTGCTGTATGCTGCTGCGGCGTGCGTGTGGGAGCTTGGGTGCTGGGGCCGCTGCTGCGCGCGACTGTTATGTGCGCGTGGGAGCTTGGGCGTGCTGCTGCGCGCGCGTGGGAGCTTGGGTCTGGTGCCGCTGCTGTGTGGTGCTGCTGCGCGCGCGTGGGAGCTTGGGCGCTGGTGCCGCTGCTGCGTGCGACTGTTGTGTGCGGGTGGGAGCTCGGGTGCTGGCGCCGCTGCTGTATGCGGCTGCGGTGTGCGTGTGGGAGCTTGGGCGCTGGTGCCGTTGCTGTGTGCGACTGTTGTGCGCGCGTGGGAGTTTGGGTGCGCCCGCGTGTGTGAGCTTGCGCGCTGTGCGCGTGGGAGCCTGGCGCCGCTGCTGTGTGCTGCTGCTATGTGCGCGTGAGAGCTTGGGCGCTGGTGCCGCTGCTGTGCGCGACTGTTGTGTGCGCGTGGGAGCTTGGCCGCTGGCGCCGCCGCGTGTGGGAGCTTGGGTGTTGGTGCCTTTGCTGCGTTGGTGCCGTTGCTGTGCGGTGGTGGTGCGCGCGCGTGGGAGCTTTGGCGCTGGCGCCGCTGCTGTGTGCGCGCGGGAGCTTGGGCGCTGGTGCAGCTGCTGCGCGCGTGCCTGACGCTCGCATGGACTGTGGAAGCTAGCTTCAGTTACCGCAAGCATCATGCTGTCATGCTGATTAGTATTCTTTATTGTTTTAGGGGGGGCGGTTTCTTTCACATGGGGTGTGGAAGCTTCCTTGTTTTGAGCAGAACCTGATGGGTTCCCAAATCATCTGGACAATACTTGCGAAGCACATCCTGTATGGACTCAGAGTCGGGGCCGGCGCTTTTCATCAGTTTTGAGCAGAACCTGATGGGTTCCCAAATCATGTGGAGAATCCTTGCCGAAGCAGATCTTGTTTCGGTTCAGACTCGGAATCGACCTCCAACACAACATGACTCACTCACGGACTCACGCACACCGAACAACAACAGAAACAACAACAAAAACAAACATATGATAGGTCTGAAGTTGTTGGACTTGTTCCAACCCCATGCGGACATGTGTCGGTGATGAACTTACCACGCCCCCACAACGATGGACGTTATGAGACGCCGCGGGCGACGGGTAGAACTTTGCATGGCCGGAGGCCGGGTCGATACAAGTATCCTTTCTACTTGTCATCCTTATCATTTGGATATGGTTTTTGAAGATAAAGACAACGTGGATCCTATGGATCGAAGCAGTCAGCTCGTGTGCGCTGTGGAGCTCTTGTCCAGTGTCTGCCAGGAGATATGTGATCCTACTACTGCTACTAAACTCCTCCTCCGACTACTACTATACTAGTAGAGGTACCAGTACTACAAGCAGAGGGGGCCCCGCTCCCCTGCGCAAGCGGGGCCCACTCCGTAGAAGGCGTTTAGTCTTGGTAGTAGTAGTCGTCGTCGTCATCGTCGTAGTAGTAGTAGTGGTGGTGGTGGTGGTGGTAGTAGTAGTAGTGGTAGTGGTAGTAGCACTAGTGGTATGGTAGTAGTAGCGTCGTAGTAGTACTAGTAGCAGAAGTAGTAGTGGTGGTGGTGGTAGTAGTAGTAGTAGCAGTAGCAGCCGCAGTAGCAGTCGCAGTCGCAGTAGTAGTAGTAGTAGTAGTAGTCGTAGTAGTAGTAGTAGTGGCAGAAGTAGTAGTACTAGTAGTAGTAGTAGTAGGAGTAGTAGTAGTAGTAGGAGTGGTGGCGGTAGTAGTGGTAGTAGTAGTAGTAGTGGTGGCGGTAGTAGTAGTAGTAGTAGCAGTAGGAGACAGGGTTTCCGGTTTCCGGGTGCCTGCTGTGAGCTGGCAGGGCGCCGGCGCCGGGCGCCGGTGCTGGTACTGTCAGCTGGCTGCGCATGTGGTGGAGACAGGGCGTCGGCGCTGGCGCTGGGTGCTGGCTGCGCGCGTGGTGGAGGCAGGGTGCTGGGCGCCGGCGCTGGTGCTCATGCTGTGAGCTGGCTGCGCGCGTGGTGGAGACAGGGTGCCGGTGTTGGGTGCTGGGTGTCGGGCGGCGGCAGCGCGCGTGGTGGAGACTGGGCGCTGGTGCTCATTGCCGGCGCTGTGCGCTGGCTGTGCGGAAAGGGAGCAGATCGCACATGGCGCGCGCTGGCCGAGCCTGCGGATTTGTGGCCTCCACACACGAGCAAAATAAGAGGTAGAATCCCGTTCCCCGCGGTTCCCCGAACACCAATGGCCAATGTTACAATGTTGAGCTGTTTAAAGCCTATTGATGACAAAATAGTCTTGCTGTCCACGGAGAACTGCAGGGATCCGCGTCCACGGAGAACCGCAGGGATCCGCGGGGAACCGGCTTCTACTTCTACCGCTACCTCTTGTTTTGCAACCCCGGATGTTTTGTCTGCGCACCGCCTCGCACCACTCCGCGCACCACAAAACATAGTACAAACCCCAGGCGTTTTGTCTGACAAACCCCAGGCGTTTTGTCTGAACACCGCCTCACGCACCACCTCCACACAGCCCCAAACCTCCAAAAGCGCAAAGCTAGTTAAGCGCACCAAGCTTGCGTCAACCTATGGAGGATGAGCCTTATCAACCATGTCTTTGATGGGCTGTTGGAGCATGCGATCGGGGACCGAGGATCTGTTTCTGGTATACGTCATCTCGCCGCGCGCAAAAAGGTCAGGATGAGGGAGACCTCGGTCAGCAAGTGGTAGGAAAGGAGAAGGGCAAGGAACTTGGCACGGTCCAAGATCTGGCCTTGAGTCCAGTCAAGTTCCTGCGGCGGAGGTCGAGGTACCGTTCAAGTAGTACCTGAGGTAGCGACGCCGTAGATCTTGAACTCCTTGATCACGGGCAAAGCATCATCTAGCGGGGCTTGTCCTTGGGCTGGTGCCCTTGTGGAACAGCAGGCAACCGAAGCGCGTGGGACTTCCGCACTTGGTGGACTTGACGGGCTGCCACTTTGAGCGTGTATGTATGCATGTATGTATGTATGTATGTATGTGTGTATGTAATGTAATGTAATGTAATGTAGGTTAATGTAAGGTATGGTAATGTAGTGTAGTGGAACGTAATGTAATGTAGTGCATGCATGCATGTAGGTAGGTGTGTATGTATGTATGCGTGTATGTATGCGTGCGTGCATGCATGCGCGCGTGTTCTTTCCTAGCGTTGAGCGAAAGCTGTAAGGGTTTGCCCATGGCTGGATCTGCCTCCACCATGGCCATGGGCTGAGAGCTCCTGGCTGGCTGTCCTTGATGCCGTTGAAAGCCGGTGGAAAGAGTCTCCCTTGGACTTTGGCGTCGTCTGCGCGAAACATCCTGGAAACCAGGTCTCGGACATTAGAGTCTCGGACAGCGAGGTCTCGGGCATGAATGTCTCGGACATCATTGAGGCATGGATGTCATAGGCCATAGGTGATGTCCAACGAGCCGCCGAGCTGGTTGGCTAGCGCCCAAGCATCCACGGCAACTTTGTGCTAACATCTCGCGACAAACCCGTGGTATACACGGTCCAGAGGTTTGCGCATCCCTCTGCAGTTGTCTCTGAAGCTAAGGCAGGAAACTCAATGTTGAAGTTGAATCCTGAGGTTCCCGCAGCCGATCATTCATCTCTGAGGCACCCCAGCCAAGTTCCAACAAATCCGCCCGCACCGAATGCGCCGAGGCGTTGCGGAGGTATCGCGTAAACCGGAAGAATGTTCTGGAGGATTAATCTAGCCTTAGCTGGGGGGGCTCATTTTCGGATGCTGCGTTTTACAATGTTTTTTTTGAAGATGGTTTAAAATGGCGCCAAACAGACACACCGACCGAGACAAACACCGACCGAGACAGACAGACCGAGACACACCGACCGAGACAGACAGACCGAGTCGAGACAGACGCACCGAGACCGAACCCTCCGTCAAAAGGCTCTGATTGGATAGGGATAGCGAAACGCTTGAGCCCGGTTAACATTTCCTCCCGGCTCCGAGAGCGCAAGTGGCTAGTTCCCGGCTCCGCGAGCGCAGGTTGCTGCCGAGCCGGGTGGGCGCTAATGACACACTTTTCCCATGTATGTCTGGATGTATGTATGTCTGTGTGCATGGATGGTTGTCTATGTCTGTATGTGTGCGTCTGTTTTCCCTGTACTCTGCGCGGGCGTCTGTATGTGTGCGTTTGCTTGTTTTCCCTTTACTCTGCGCGGGCGACTTCAAACGGTGTATGGCCTTCAACTGTCGTTCAATGCAGTGTCGTCTTTTCTTTTATTTTATATATATCTCTCTCTCTCTCTGTTCTCTCTTCTCTCTTTTCTCTTTCCTCTCTCCTCTCTCCTCTCTCTTCTCTCTCTCTCTGTCTCTCTCTTGTCTATTCGACCCACCGCTCTCAAAGGTGAGCATACTGACCTACATTTCGTCCACCCTGTCCCACTCAAATTCGGTGCATCCGCGCCTTCTACCAAATCGCCTCTCAGGGCGGGGGTCGCTCGAAGTATATGTTTTTTGGTGTTTGAAGCAGAACTATCAAAAAGTGGAGGCATGGACACCTCCGATTCAATTGATCTCCTAGGACTTCCCCCTCGCGCATGAAGAAGCACACGAGCACTGCATGAAGAAGGCGAAAATTGACTGAGGAATTGCACATTTGAACAAGCCCAAAGCTGTCCACAGGCCCCCATTCCCGTTGACGAGCGCCCCGAAAGCAAAGAGGAGGCGCGGCGCCACGTTTGAGGAAAAGTCCGGCCGATTGCGCATGCGACATTGGCGTACTGCAGTATATTGAAATTCTGGTGCCAGCGGTCAATGGTGTACTGTATTTTGGTGTTTTCATTTGTACATTGCATCCTTGCCACAAAACGCAAATTTTCCGCGTGGCAGGTCCAGCACAACTATTTGTTGGATTTTGTCCTTCAAACTGACCGCCTGGGCAGCTTGTAAAGGAATTTGCTCTGTTCAGCTATGGACAACCGAGTTGAGCTCTGTTTGGAAGAGTTATGGCCAAGTATAGTTTGTCGGTTTGTTACTGTATCAAACAGGATGTTTTTGTTATCAGCATTGTGCAAAATGAAATCGTGAATTTGCCTGGTTTGGTGTCAAATTTCAGATCCTGGGCTCAGGCCCTGGGCGTGCAACGATGCCTGACTTTGCTAGGGTTTCCAGGCCAATTTTATTGGAGAGGCAAATATAGACCAGATTGATGCGGTCAGATCATGGCAGGAAAGTGGGACAAGGAAGCTGCGGCGCCGAAAAGATCAGGAAGCAAGTTTTGACTTATGGCGCAAAAACAACACGAGCTATATAAGCGGCATCAAGCTACGCCGGTGTTGTTGTTTGTTTCACTTTCTTGTTTGTTTCTTTGTTGTGCACTGCGTCCATCGTTGTTTGACAGGAAGCTAGCACCACGAAAGGCGGGAGATCCACGCGTGTTTGAGCAACAAAACAAAACGTGAGTTGAACGCAGAGCACCGCGTAACTTCCCAAAAGTCAACTGCATATCAGTCATGAACACATGGACATTTGAAGGTTCAGCATTGGTAACCCATGAAGCGGAACCAATACAGTTTCAACATTGTCCCAGTGTGAAAGCTACTCGAAGTGTTGTTTGTACTTGTGTTGTTGATTCTGATGTTGTTGTGCGTTGGTCACTTGCCTTCGTAGAATCTTGCCGCACGGAAAGTGGGAGCTTTGCACTCTACGTGAGTGGGCGAGTCGGCTTACCCTGAAGTTTTTGTGCATCAATCCATGCTTGAGCATCCCACGCTGGTGCCCCCCCGACGGGTGTTGGGTGCTATTTTCGCTAAGAAATTTGTGGCCGAAAACTACGGGATGGACTTGTTGGGAAATACTGACTGGAGTGTGCCTGCAAACTCGGCAACCAAATGATTGTGTGGTGGTTTTCATTGTGGTCTCCAATCTCTGAGTCAGTGAGGTGTGTGTGTGTGCTTGCAAAACCGCTTCCTTTTCACAAAGGCGGATATGCGATTGAAAGACGGCGCTTTGGATGGATCAATTATTCGGTCCTGTTGTCTCCATGATCTGCCCCAAGGAGCAACAGCATAGTCTAGTGTTCTTTGGGAGTCAGTTGGAGAACCTCTGCACAAGTCTTGGCGGGACCTTTCATGTTCTTCTGCCATGTTTCGTCATTGATCTCAGTTTTTCATGCCATAACTGCAACAAGAATGTCTGAGTCTGTCACCTGAAATACATCATTGCTGCAAGACTGGAGATGAATTGGTTCTGTCCCATGTTGATGTAAAGGTGCTTAAGACTACCTTGGCACCTTCTGAATCTATGGCTGGCATTTGTATCCTCATAAACCATTTCCTTCGACCGCAAATCATTGGAGAGGCATTGGTTTCCAAGCACGGATTCTCTTCAGGCTCGTGTCTTCTGGTTCCTCAAATTGAATCACTGGCTTGGTCAGACACTGGATTTGCGAGAACCTCATTTTGAATTTACAACGTGTTTTGGGATACTCATGCTCCTGCTTGATCGGACAATTCTGGGTTGGCTCCTTGCTGCAAAAAGAAGTCTCCAATTCCCTGTTTCAGTCTCAGTTGGTCAATAAAAACTTGTAGGACAAAATGGATTTGGACTGGAGAATCCGGTGTGGGATTCGTATTGAGATAGGTCTGCAGAGGCTGCTCCTGCATCATGTTGTGATCATTGGCAAGAACATGGTGATGAGCATGATGCATCAACTTTCTCCGAAATGTCTGGTGACCACTTCCCAAGACTCAGCCAACTCTGCAATACCAGGAGACCGGAGACCACAGTCGTGGGAGGAAAGTTGCCCAGAACTTGACAGCAAACAAGAGCGTTATAGTGGGGAGCTTCGTTTGCTTGCTAGCGTGTAGCCTGTCAATCCGAGGTTGAATGGAAAGTAGCAACTGGTTAGAGGTTTCCTCCACTACTTGCATCAACAATATGCCATTCAAAACGCCCAAGCAAATCCAAGAGACCTAGGCACTTCCATTCCAACATGTATTCTAATGGTCCGGTATCTGAATTCGCTGACTCCCATCCAACCTCTGTTGAGAACAACTCAATCTGGCTTGCGTAATGACACTTGCCGAACTAGATGTTGAAGGTCTTGATTGACAACCACCAGAATGTCCGCACACAGTTGCTTTTTGTCATGCACAAGTCTGTTCAACAAGCCTTGTTTACATCACTGATCGGGAGGTCCTCGAGTCCTGGAGGACATCTTGAATATATTTCACCCTCAACTTCACTCAAAACCTGATGAAATCAGGATGTCTTGGTTGACAAGGTGATGAATCTAATTTGTCCTAGAACATGCGTGCGCATGCACATCAAGGCCGCCAGATTTCTCAAATGTGATTCTCAAGCGGTTTACATGGTGTGTTTATACCCTACTATGTATACGTGTATATATAACTATATAAATATTGTATATCACGAAAGCCAGCCGATACTTAGGCAAGGCTTGAGGCAGGGGGGCGAACGAAGTGAGTTAAAGGGGGTGTGGGGGGGTGGTCGCCAGTGGGCCAATTTCGGAGAGGCAGAGCCTGATGGGGGAGAGCGAAAAAAAGAGGTGGCCACTTGGTAGTGAAAAATGAGTGGTTTTAGGGGTGTTATGATGCCGGTGATGTGATTTACGGCCAGTAGTGCATCATTAGCATCACGAGGGGCTCAGGAGGCAATGTAAACCGTGTTCTACCAGGTGGGGGCTCATGTCAATGATAGGAAAGAGGGGACAACGAGACGCGAAAAGTGGCTGGAACTCTTCCAGAAAACAAAGATGCGCGCCTCTCATGGCCAGTGAAAGGGTGTGAAAGGGAGGTGTGTGTCTCTTAAGACATTGTATGATCTGTGAGGAACCAGAATGCTGTGGGGAAGGTGGAAGACAGGCATAGGGTAGGAGGACGTGGTGGGAAAAGAGTGTTTGCAAGAAAGTTTAGAGTTGCTTGGGGGTGCCCTTTTTTAGTGAAGACGCCTGTCAACTATCCGCAAAAGGGCACCCCATATTGGGGGCGCGGGTTCATGTAATGCTGT